GACGGCCAATACAATTTTATAATATGAAATATCTATTCAAATTAAATATCTGATGCAATTAGTAGTCCTCTTTCTAATAATATATTCAATAATAAATTTAACTCAACAAGATATGAAAAAATTGTCTTTTGTTGCTATTTTTGTGGGAAATTTCCGTGTGGATAAAAAAAAAACAATGTTTATTTTTAATGCGTACTTAAAACAAAGCTACGATAAAAAGTAATTCTTACACAGAGTAGAGTTTTTTTATGTTGAATCACGCATAATAAAGGAAAATTCCAACTTCGAACGGGCACACAACAGTTCACAAACTTTTCCCAATACGATCCAAGCAAATTCAAAGATGTAATACCAACCTTTCAAAAAATTGAATCTATGTACAGAAACAAATTAAGATACATTCTACTCTCCCCATAGAATAGAAGCCCAATTTCAAGGTTATAATTTTCTAGACATATTTGAAACGTACTCTGTCCAAAATGACCACAACAGAGACCATTTAGAAAAGTTGAGTAGATTACCTCATGACTTCTTACTATATAGTTATATCCTGGTTTATATGCCTCATTTACTTTGTGTTGCATACATTTTCTATGAACAGATACATGAACCTCTTGCAAGAGTTGAAAAATATGTACGTAATACGTATTAATAAAATATAACTGTCTCAGAACTATTGAAAAGAAATTTCGTTTGCAATAAATCGATTCACTTAGATAGTTTCTTCTTATGGAATTATATACAGTTTGGAAACAAAATAATGGACATTTGTATTAACTTAACAACAATATGAGAAAATCTTTGACTTAAAAATGAGATCAGTCAAAAGAAATTTCTTTTAAATTCCTTCAAAGCTCAATAGTTTCCCAAATCATCATATTCTATTAACAAGAGTTTTCTGTATCCATAATAAGATTCACGAAGTGCTGAGGATAGATAAACATATAAATGGGAAATATAATGTAAAAAATGCACTACTCGGTTGATGTGATAGTATGAAATCGAACAAGAACTGGCAGTTAGTCTTTGTTGCGAAGTACACGATATCAGCTACTCCGAAAGTTGTCAGATAATATGCCTAATCCAATTAATAAATTTTTAGACATTTCTATGCTTATAATTTAATGAGATTCTAGCTGTTATATGAAAACAGTTGATCGCAACAAAAATCAATTAGAAGTTCAATGCGCTTTTATTCTGCAAGAAAGTTTAATTCGAAATTCATCTATTTCCATACAGATAAAAAATGAATTTAATGATACAAAATCATCAACAAAAATGCGTAGTTTAAACAATTCGAAAAATAAATATATCAATTTTAATGTTATTCTTATGTGATTAGAGTTATGTCATTGAAATTTAGATGACATGATCAATTGTTAACAAAATCATAATTATTTTTTCTTCTTCTTAATCGTTGCTATAAATATAAAAATGTAAAATATTAATTTAAGTTCGCCTAACTTTTTATTTCAGATTTTTATATAATGATTATTCTGATAAATAATAGTTCTGTAAAATTACATGGTTTCTGTGATAGATTTATTAAGGATATGGATTTGTAGATTTTCTAATGAATCTTGACTTAAATTATGACTTGTGTATAGAAGTGTTTGACTCGGTTTGGATACAATCGAATTTTTTCTTATGGTAATTCATCAGTCCATATAATATATTAAAGAGTAGAGAATTGAAAAATCATCGAATTAGCTTTGAATTCTGAATATCATACGGATTGTGTGAATAAAATATATCAGCAATGGAGACCATCATCAGGACAGAGCGAAGGAAAATAGCTTGATCTGACAATGTTTTTTCATAAATTTTCAGTTGAAACCGTTTGCTAAATGCAAACATGAATCTTCTATAACATGTATCACATATGTAATTTGGGATCCCGACAGATGCGCACGAAATAAAAAATTCATACTTACAAATAAGTAGTCATATTATCCACCATATCATTAAACTGTAATTAATAGACATAGTCTTCTTAATTGTTTAACCTCATTAAGATGAGCTCATTTTAAGAACAAACATGTGACGCATATAAAAAATGATCATTCACATTCGAAATGGTTCATTATCAGTGATCCTCAAACATGTGTACTCCGGTTGAATTCGCCAATACTACAAAAGGTCGTCCCTTAATGATATTAGATAGTTATTGATACACTTAAGATCGTCGAACCGACACAAAAACCTATTGGCGTTGTGAAAATCATAAAACTTATAATTGCCATTATCGAATACATACATGTAATTCTACTATTACTAAAACTCAAGTCATGACATTAAAACAAAATGGTACTCATTCAACAAGTTGTAATCGAGTTATAATAAAAATTACGCTGAGAAAATTTCGTGAAGACGTCACTGATCATGTAAAAAAAACTTAAGAAACAACAGATACTGTATTATCACAAATGCATCTCAAAATTATTTTATGATTTTGAAAATAAAATAAAACTATTGTTGTTCTTGCTACTTCTCTATCTCTGTATTTTCTTTTAGCGTATAAATATGAATTTTTTTATTTCGTGCGCAAATTTCCTGGTGCGCATCTTTCGTAGATCCATGAAAAAGACATGAGCATTAAATGTAAGCACGATCAAGATTTTTCGTTATATTATCAATCCATTTCATAGTCGACCTCAGTTTACATGGCCTGTAACAGTTTCTTGTCAGAAATCCAGTAAATTATATAAAATAATTAAGTGACAAAAGCTATGTTAATTTCAAACTCAAGTCTGTCGAATCGGAAATGCTCCTGTGCATGTATTATGGCTAATAAATGTTTGAATACTTATACTTTAGGATCCACAGTATCGTTTTTTTTAAATAAACTCGTTGTCATTCATGATGATCCATACATTCACGGTGATTGGAACTGGAAGAATAATCTGTCAACTGCCCGCCCTCTATCAACATCTCCATCTCATTCGTAAGGTTGTTAATCAAATACGATCTATTGCTTACTTTTTTCAGTCAAAAGGCCTACACATAAAAGAGTGAAAATAGTAAACCTGATTTTGTATGTATTTATACTGTTAAAATAATGATAAAGTCATTATCGTGGCATTGGTTTCGTTTAATTTTTCCAATTTGTTCTATTTGTTTTCTTTATATATGTTCATTTCATTTATTTCTTTGTGCAACAAATTCTTTAATATATTCTACGGTTTGTCTTCTTCATGGTAATGAGTCATTTTGTTCTGAAATTGATCGTAATAAATCTTTACGTGCATCCCAAACAACAATTCAAAAAGAAAGTTCTCAATGGTCTCTTTATGGGACATTATCTTTCGCAATAATAGCCTGTTTTATTTCACCTATTTACGGAAGTTTATCAGATACAAAAAACCGAAAATTACCAATTATTCTAACAATATCAAATGCAATAATAACAGGTTTAGTAATTACGATTGGAAGTATTTTTCGAGGTACTAAAACATCTTTATTACTGTATATTTTTGCTAATGTTATCAATGGATTTGGTGGAGGATCATTAATTCTTCTTTCGTAAGTTTATTTGAAATAAATAAAAAGTATAATGTTATTCGTTTAGTTCATGTTTTGGTTATGTTACTGATCTATGTACTGAAAAAGAACAACATATTCAAGCAATTGCAATTATTGAAGCATCATTAAATTTGGGAGTTATTATTAGTTATGTTCTTTGCACATTTATTTTTCAATTACATGCTAAAACATGGCACATATTAGTTGTTCATGTTGTTTTATTAGTTCTTGCTCTATTAATAGGCATTATTTTTTTAAAAAGTCAATCAATAAAAGAGTCATCATCAATCAATCTTTGGACCAAATTTAAACGCCCATTTTTAGATACGCGAGATTTAATTATTGATTTAAAAAATAATAATTTATTCTTATCTTTTTTTATTCTTCTTTTATCCCTTTTTTTCTATGAACTTTTTCGTATGGGTTCACCATCGATTTATTATTTATATTTACATCGAATGTCATTCAATGATACACAATATGCAGCTTATTTTACCTGTGAACAAATAGGAACATGTTTAGCATTAGTTTTCTTGGCTTTATTAAGAAGACGATGGAAAATAAATGATCTTTATTTATGTACTATTGGTTTATGTCTTTCATTGATTGGACCGATTCTATTTGCATTTGCTTCTAACAATAAAGCCATGATTTTTGGTGGTAAGAAAAAAAAAAAGAGAAAAACACGTATATCAAAGGATTAAGTATTTTCTATAGCTATTCCATCCATGATGTTTGGTATTTATTTTCCAGTATGTTTAAGAGCAGTTCTTGCTCGTTTAGTGCCAGAAAGAGATAAAGGTATATGAAAATCTATTGTAATTAATACATATAGATTGAAATTTTTCTAGGCAAAGCATTTAGTTCTGTTGCTTTAATTCAAAATCTTGATCTTTTATTGGGTACAGTTGCTTGTATTCAAATTTATCGTGCATCGATAAATATTTTTGTTGGTCTTGTTTTTATTTTTTGTGTTGCTACAAGATTAATTGCATTAATACTCATTCTGTAAGATGATTTTTAAAAAATCTTTTCAAGATAACTTTATTGCTTTATTAGTGTACAAATATTTCGTATCAGCCATTCACCACAGTTATCGGTAAAGGCATCGATTGACATAATTCAAAATCCACTTTTAGATATTCCATTGAAGAATGATAATGAATTAATTCGTTCATAAAAAAAAAGAGTAAAATTTATAATTTAATGATAAGCTGTGATTTTTCTTTGACAAGCAAATGCATTTTTTGATTTTAATAAAATTGTTTTTTTCTAGATAAAATGATTCATATATTGTTATGTCTTTTACATATATTTCTTGTTTGTAACTTCAGTATCAATGGCCTACCAGTTATAGAAAAAGTAAATATTATTGCTTTAAATAAAATCTTTATAAAATAATTTTTATTATACAGAAATCTAATATTGAAAATAGCACTTTGAATGCCGCACAACGTGCTATGCTATCTGAATATCAAATGGATAATTTACCAGCTGCTTTACGTATTTCACAAATCATACCGAAATTTGAACCACCGAAAAAATTTAATTTAACACAAATAGCAAAAGATTTAAAAGATTTTGGTATTCATAGTCTAAAAGATGATAAACATATTGAAGGTGTACCATTAGAACGTGATGGAAAGATAAACCCAGACTTTCATAAAGAAATATTTTTGGGTAATCATGAATTATTTGAAACAGATATTCAAAATGATGAACAAAAACGAGATAAAAAATTAGAAGAAATATTTAATGAGTATGAAAAATTGGATTTCAAAATAAATTAGTTCATATTTGTTTATTTATTTAGAGCAGATGTTGATCATGATCAACGTTTATCAAAAGATGAATTACTTAATTATGTTTTAAAAAATGTTAATCAACATATACACGAAGCTAAAGAAAGAAATTCACAATTATTTGTATTAATTGATTCAAATCAAGATGGTAGGATAAAAGAAATAATATAAATTTTGATTTTCAATTATATTTTTTGATAACTAAATGATTAAGCTTGAGAAATTGATATTATCAAAATTAATATTCTTTCATTTATATTTTTCTTTTTTATTAAATTAAGATAAGAAAATTCTTATCCACTTTATAGATTATCATACACGACAGTCATATACTCTCTAGTGAATATTAATGCTATAGCATGGTTATGAAAGTATATGAGATGATTAGCAAATATGTATTTATTCTAAACTTCCAACATTATAGAAGCCTGCTGTGTCTGACTTGAACACAAAAGAAGCAATTGAAGAAATCGAATAGATTAGCTCATTGCTTCTTACTATTCAAATATAACTCTGTTTATATACTTGATTTCTTTTGTATTGTATGTTCGTAAGCAACGGACAAATTAATTTCTTTAGCGACCTGAAGAATGTGTATGTAGACTTATTACTTCTTATATAGCTGCCGGAGAGCTGTGCTAAATGAATTAAGCATGCAATCATATTATTTTGTTAGATTGCTTTCTTTTATAAATTTATGCACAGCTGAGAAACAAAACGATATTAATTTTTATTAACTTGACAGAAATATGGTCAAATTTTTGGATGAAAAATACAACATTTTACAAGGGTGAACACTAATCAGTTCAAATTACATGAAAATTGATCACGCTCAACAATAAAAATTTGGGTGACATGGTACAGTATCAATTACTAGAGTACTCATGAAATTTGAACTATTCATCTCTAAAAAAAGAGAATTTTATGTCGTAATCAGAGGCTTACTTTATATTTCTGTCAAGGTAATTAAAATATATCTCGTTTCACTTCTGCATTGTGTACAAGCTTCTATATAATGAACTTGTTCAGCAAAATCATATAGGTACATATTTAATTAGATATTCTTTCTAATTTCTCCAAAGCTTGAGAATTTATTAGCATGTGTATTTTATTAATCGTCACTGTTAGCATTGATATCAGAATTCATCAAATACTGGAGATACACGATCGCGTAAATATGAAAAGTAGTGTAAAGAATTCATAGTTTTGTCTACTTAATAATATGGGATTAGAACAGAATTGACAGTTTGTCTCTGATCCCACAGAAACCATTATTGGTATTCTGAAATTGGTCACACAATTTGAAAAGTTCTATTTATTAGTTATTCAATATTTCTATACTTGTAAGCTAATGAACACATGAAAAAACTGTTTGCACTAGAAGATCACACCACTATAGTTTTTGATTTTTTGAAAAAATATTGTTTAAATAATATCTTTCATTTGAACACTTAATTTATCTTCGATGATGAAATATCCGATTTATATTCCCGTGTTAAGCCTTTTTGTGACATAAAATCTAAAAAGAATATGGAAATATACAGATAATAATATGCTTTCGCTCAGACTGTGGCAGGCAATTTAACAACATTGTCGCCCGCGTCACACAAATGTTGATATACGATCATAAGCCATATATCAATAATATCTCGTTATAGTGTATAAATTACATCTTTATTGCATCTTTGGAAGGATTAAGTAAAATGATGGTAAAGAAACGTATCTTAAAATTGACAGAATAAAAAAATTCCGTGCGATTAGCAACAACAGCTGCATCGAGCTTCACGTTTTGATCTCGCAAGGATTCTAAAAGCAGCTTTTTGTTTCATAGTCGAAGCAGAGGTGTACAATCTACTCGTGTGAGCGAATGTGTATGTTCAAGGAAATCATTGAAAGAATATTGGCTTTGGGGAAGAATCTTGAAAACAACTGAATTTATGAACATTTTTAAAGTCCTAAATTCGTTTAGAGAAAACTTTCCTTATTTACAACAGATGCTGCGTATCTTAGTCGAAGATACACATACACATTAGATTGATCTAAATGATAGAAAATTTCTGACGATCAGATATGTATCCTGACTCTTTTCTAAAATCATAAGAACTTAACATATTGAAATAAAATAGATAAAAGTTTTTGTTTTTTAATAGATACATAATGCTAACATTGATTTGTTTGTTTCATTAGGTAAAGTGACTTGGCATGAATATTTTGCTTTATATGTTAAATTTCACAAGATGAATTCAACTAGTGTTAAAGAATCGGATACTTTTGATTTTATTCAAGGACCATTTGATAATAATTGTAAATATATAAATTCAAAAACAAACTTTCATGAATCTATTTTTATTAGTTCAACGAGAATTAGTGAAAATTCGATTTCGTTGGACAGAAGCTGATGTTGGAGGTGATAATGAACTTGATATTGATGAATTTCTTGCTTTTCGTCATCCAGAAATAGCTGGTCATTCATATAAACATATTGTTGATGATCTTATTTTACAAATGGGTTTGTTAATTTTCTTTGAAAACCTTTTTATTTCATATTTTATTTTTTTTTTCAAGATCGTAATAATGATCAAAAATTAAATGAAACTGAATTTGCATTTTTACCTTGTTAGTAATAACTATTGATTTTTTGAAAATACCTCATGAATATTTCTTTCTAATTAGCAAGTATATTAGAAGATGGTGGAAATAAAGAATGGGTAGAAATGGATAAACGATGGTTAGAAGAACAAAAAAGAGAATTTCATGAAATGGATGAAAATAAAGATGGAATTTTAACAAAAGATGAATTATTAGTAATTTATTTCTTTTATCTTTTTTTCTTGTTCTTTTAAATTTGATGATTAATTTTTAGAAAGCATATGATCCAATGAATCGTGTTCATATAAGTAATCAAATAAAAAAGTTATATGAAAAAGTCGATGATTCTCCATCAGACAATGTTTTAACATTAAATGAAATTCAAAAACATGCTGATGTTTTTACTGATATGCGCATTTTAGATACAGAAAAGGCATTACATGATGAAATATAACATCAAAAAAAGACTTGTTATGTCCAGTTTTCTACTTTTTCCAACCAACTAGTATTTTATGTGATCTTACTGTTTGTTTTTGTTTTTGTTTTTGTTTTTATTGTTTTTCTCAGCTTTTTGTGCACAAGTTTAAATAAGATGACAAATACATATTAATTTTCAAGTATTTCAGAAATATTAAATATTATAATTTGTGTTAATGATGCATCAAGTTCATATCGAAATTATTGGTTTGAATTATAAAGATTAATAATTTTGAAATACTAGTGCTACGTTTTATTTTTCATTGTTGATTATGTTTATGTGAAATTAATGTAATTTGATCGATCGATATAATAAAATATAAAAAAATTGAATTAGAGAAACCATTTCCAGTGGAAGGAACAACTTCGAGATCAAATTTTTGTTTATCATGACACGCGATCTGGAATAGTATATTAAGTTGTAACGAATGTTATATGAAAAACAAACAGTCAAAGGAACTTATGCAATATTAAAAAAATTATTTCATGGTTAATGCTTTATATATTTGGCAAGACGAATGAATATACATGAGATATCGAAAAATGACAAAATCTTCTATGATTTGTTAAAGTGACAAATAGTGGCGTAACCAAAGATGGACTAGGTCTGACATCGCCCTAGCATCAGAAGAAAAAAAAACAATAATTGCCATCATTAACACTATATTTTTTCGATTCTTCTCCAAGATCGTATGGCATTACCGTATCACCCATCATCTCCTGATTACTTTACTAATGACAAGAGATCTTAGTTAAAAATAATTTCTATAATGTTGAAAATTAGCAATTCAAAAATCATAAGAATATTAGAGTTTTATGTTCAATTGTCTCGTATAGGTCATAAATTCTTTTTAAATTATTAGAATCGATTTATAAGATAAGATCTGTAAAAATAAAATATTTTCCAGTTGTTTTTTACATAAACAAATAAACATATTGTTGTCATTCGCATATTGATAGGAGTAGAAACTACGCGAAAAGAAACACATGTTCTAAATATATGATGTCTTCTATAACGAAGGATCTAGAAGTTACCAGAAGAAAAAGAAAGAATAATATCAAGTAAGGAGACTATAAATGTTTTTTTTTTGTTGAGCAAGCCTAGAAAACTATCACAAAAAACAAGACTATAAATAATTCTTGTTGATATATTCTTTTCTCAAACAATTCATTACTAAGTTCTAAAGGGTAGTTGAAAAGTATTGACTCATCTCAGTAAATCGATAATATCTATGGCTTACGGATCGAAATACGTAATTATATAGAAGAAGATTAGAGCTATTATCTGAATAAAATGATACTTCAAAATGCATAAATTTACTACAATAATATGGTCATTTTTACTAATCTTGATTGAATATTTTCATTTTTAGATTTTTTGAGAAAAACTTTTTTCTATCAATAAAATATCCAAACGATTTATAAATTTATTAGATTGACATTTTCTATAAATAGCAATAATTAAATTCTGTAATTAATTCACCTTGTTTTCAACCTTTCTAGAATATCCTTTATCATTTTTCTATACTAAAATTTTCCACAAATCAATAATCTTTTGTTTGACATACTCTTCATAAAATAAGACTATCTGTATAAAAATCTTTAACAATATTAAGTGTCATAAAACTGCAACTATGATTAGAAAATATAATGAATATTATTCTATTAAAATGATAATTCTGATAAAAGAATCTCTCTGAACAAAAAAGAATATAATTATTATAAAATTTTTTTTTTCTCAATAAATATAAGATGAAAACATTCACTTAAGATTAATAAAAATAACCGTAATATTGTACTACATTTAACCATTTCGAAGTATCCTTTTCTTTTTTAGATGATATAGCTCCATGATATCACTTCTAAATCATCATAATAATCTACCAGTAAAATAACAACAACTTTTCAAACTTTCGTAGCACTAGAATATTTATTTAAAAAAAATTATTAGTTCAATTTATAATTGATGAACAAAAAAATCAATGAAAATGCAATTAAAATATCTACACTTAATTTGAAAAAATCCTATCTATTCAAATTTTTTCATGTTTATTAGCACAAATATCGTAAAAATCATTTTCTTTTTGAAAAACAAAACACATATCTTACATGCTTTTCATTCGAACAAACTAAACATGGGTTAAATATTACACAAAGTTTTTAATATGAAATGACATTTTTGTCTCCGTCTATATTAATCGGCATGGTATCGTTCATTGTATTGATTGCCATTGTTTGATAAATCTTGCTTTGTGAAATTAAAACACCTTTGTCATCAGTTACATTCATTTCTTTATATAATTGTTTCTTTCCATCAACAATCAATTCTTTAATACATGTTGTTGTTTGTGTAGCACGAAATTTTTTTCGTCGATTTTTTTGTATTGATGTTGTTGATGGTGGATCTAATGTTGTTGTTGTACAAACAGGTTCAACAGCATCTAGCTTCTTTCTATCTTCCATCCAATCATCCATGTCATTCATAGAAAATGATGATGAACCAAATAAACGTTGAAAACGTTGATTCATCATTGCCATCATTTTATTCATATCTTCGAATATCGATAAGAAATTTGAATTATTATTCATTGAACCCCGAAAATTGTTCAATGGTACGTTTTGATCAAAGAAAGATGGATATGTCCAACAATGAGCCATGCCTAAGAGAAATATTAGGCAGGTTACTTGCATTAAACTCGCCATGAATATGCAATAAATATGATAAACTCTATGTTAATAAAAGAAAAATGTATATGTTCGCTTGTCGACAATAAAGGCAAAACTATACTGAGGCTTGTTCGCAACTGTATATATATATATGCATATATTAACCTGCGTCATTTGCCTTCTCTCTCTCTCTCTCTCTCTCTCGTTCTCTCTCTCTCGTCTTTATGTGTTTTTTTCTCATGTAAAATTGATAACAGAAATAGATTGGCCCTCGAATTGATTATACAACATGTTTGTCTACCGATTGAATATGACTAAAACGTTTGATTATTTTTATTGATTAAGATCGAGTAATTCATATGTTGACAAAGAGATACATTCTATCTTTATACTTGGAGAAATAGAAAAAAAAACCTTGGACATTCTCTTTTGAGAGAAATAGAATTAATCATATATCGTCTGATTGTATTTATTCAGTACAAGAACATTCGAGAAGATTCGAGGCATACTAACATTATTCGATCAATAGAACTAAAACATGATTCAAGCTTTTTTTCTATTCTAAATAAAAGATATCAATTGCACTTGCATTTATGATTTCTAAACTTTAATAGAATATTAATCTGAATATCAGATACACAATATGTATGCATTAAAAACATCTCAGAAAAAAAAGTAAATATGTATAAAACACTTTCATATTCAATGAAGGATGTCTAATACGATAATTGAATGATGAATTGATCGTTTTATAAATTTCTTATCGAATTTTTAATACTTATCATCGAATGACTGAATATACACGAGATATGCAATACAGATAAAACTCTTTACTAGTCCAATGTAATTTGGTTACTGAAGAGAAACAAAAGTTTTGCCTTTGTCATGAACTAAATTATCATCAGATACTTCTATTGATAAATGTTCAATGAAAAAATGAATAAAACCTATATCAATTTTTTTTTCTTATAAACAATGTATTCAAATTTTCATACATGAAGAGCACTTTGTTTCAAGACGTATATCATTTTGTATCGAAGTGGAAACAGAAACCAATTATGTTATTATGTAAGATGAATAAACTTACGCTTCAATTATAATTGACTTCAAGAAAAAATCATTCTCATTTGAATTCATTTCATTTTCTTTTCTCTTTACTTTACAGATACTGATGTTTCTTCGGTGATACTCATGTAAAAAAAAAATTAGATGAAAGTTGATTATCTAAAAATGATCATAATAAATTTCAATTCATTCTTTAACTTTAATCAATTGGAAATCGAATCGTTGATTATCTTTTTTTTATTTGTTGTATTAAAATAGATTTTTATCTGATTTATTATAACAAATTTCCTCATAAGTTGGTTACATAAAAAATCTTTTGCATTTGATAGCATTCAAATGCAATGCATGAAATAAAATTTGAAATTTTTACAAGATCGAAAGGTTTCTCTCTTCACTTACAATAAAATTTAGTCTATTCTATAAGAGAAGCTTCACCATATTCATGACAATGTTTTACTGCTGTTAATGAGATAGTTGGTTCTGTTGCATTTTATTCAAATCTCAATTGTATTGTTTTAAATCCTATTTGTAACTTCTGTAAAAAGTCTTATATTAATGCAACAATAAGGAAGAATTCAAATCAATAAATAACTTCTTTATCGAAAGTCATGTGCTGGTTGTTTTGCATTAAATTGGTCAATAGATTTATATCAAAAAGTCACAAATTATACTTTTTATCGAATTTTAACAGGAAATAAAATTCTTCATCGTATCCAAATGTTACGTGTGACTATAATTGACGAATTTAAATCAAATTGATCTAATCAAGACGTTGAAGGTTATCTTATCAAAATAAATCAGAGTGTGAGTAGATCCATAAATTCTTTCATCACTCATACCCACACTCTCAAAGTAGAAATATATTTATCACTTTGCCCCCAAATACATAAATATTACAAAGAGAAGAAAGTTTTGAAGAATTAAGGCTCATTGGTTGAGACATGACTATTTAATTTTGTATAACAGTGCATAGCAATAAAAAAACACGAATAGAAAATCATGCTTCGAGACAGCAATAGTGGAAGAATCAGATGTAAAAATATAATCTAAGATGGCCACAAGTGATTAAAGTAACGGGAATGAGTAAATGGATATAATGACATCGGCGGAAGCACAAAAGAAACTCCTTTACAAATATACCAATAAGAGTCTTATGATAAAGATTTAGGTAAAAGAATATAGCCATAAGGATTTAGATTTAATGGTATAAGTATAGAAGTATAGAGATAGTGATATATGTGTAAGGGTACAGTCAAACAAGTAAAGACATATAAGTATACCTTAGAGGTCTACGGAGCAAACTTTTTCGTGTTCCGAATCCCGTTTGTCCTGCGGAACGGAACAAACGGGATTTTTCGAGATTCGGAACTGTCTCGCAGACCTCTAGTAAATCTATATCTAGTGATACAACGATAGCTATAAATATTAACTGTATATTCATCGGTTGCTATGACTAAGTAGCTTCGTTGTTCGGCACGTATCTGTGCGATATTCTGTTCAAATCTCAGTCCCATGAACCATAAAGTGACCCTGGAAAAGTCACTAACGGCTGTTTTTTTTGAATCATCCGTCCCATAGCATGCTGACTACTTTGTGACATACACCTGTTCTTGTGACTAGTATGTGGTTAGTTTGTATATATGGACAGCTCAAGCAATGAAGTACAAGAATCATGATAGTATAAGCTACGATATGATGTAACAAGAAACTATTCTGAACGCTGCAACTACGTATGCAGAAAAAAACAGAACTCTAAGCTAGGTGAATTTTTGTAAAAGAATGAAGAAATATACCGATATTTAACAGTACGATCATATCCTTGACTCTTATACGTAGCTTAATATAAGTCTTGATGCAAGATTTCTGTGACCACGATTTTTTATGATAGGTTTTGTATGATCATTGCAGTATCAGAGTAATATCTGTTAAGAGCATATCAAAATCTATTCTTAATAACTGATTACTTTACCTGTAGTTTTAACTTTTTCTCGTCTTAATTTCTGTCTAACATTAAAATTCTTTCAAAACAAAACACACAAAAAGAACTTGGCTATTATTATATCAAACAATGCAGTGAGTATCACATAATTTTAACTAATACGATTCACAGTTTGTATTGCTGATAACTTCAGTATTATCTCAAGATAGTCGGTCACATAAATACAAAATAAAGTCAAATATTAAAGTGAGCATAAGGAATTACAAGATTATAATTTGAAAAAAACTTATATCAAATTACATTGAATATGATTTATTTTTTTGTAGTCAAAATAAAGTAAATAACTACTTCAAATTAGTTTTATTTACATAAAAGATTATTATGAAATAAATACACGAGGTTAACTTTATTTTATATTGTTTTACAATAAAAGAAATTAGTATGATTTGTTCGAATTGAAATAAATCAAGAAAATATTAACAGATTTAATCAACGAAAAACAAACACTTATATAAAATTAATTAGATTCCAATGTATTTCAAAAAAAAAGTGAAGTAATATCAAACAATCTTATCTAAAAGTAAAAAAGAAAAGAAAATATTTGACTCTGTTTCAATAAAAAAAAATACGAAGAGCACTCGTTTTCTATGGAGGTGCATGAAAATCCAGCGGAATATCATCTAAAAAAACAATAAATTTGATTCGTCAAACATATGTGATCACTTATGTTATTTTGTTTTTAACAGGTAAGCATTATTGTAAAACATAAATGTAGAATACTAAACTCTAACTATTCATTTATTGCTTTTTTATAAACTCTTTCTCTTCATGAACCTTTGCTACGGTTTTGTAGTCCGATGCAAACGCATTTGTCCTTGTACTATTCCTGTATTCATAAATTCTTTTTAAGTACATGAACAGAATAAAACATTAGATGAGTGATTTATCATGACAGGTTTTAAACACAATCGTTTAAATAATAAATTCTTCACCTAAAGATTTATTCTGTTCATCTACCTAAAAAGGATTTATGAACAAAGAAAACAGTACAAGAGCATACGTATTTGCAACGGGTTACAAATCCTTGCTAAGATTTATGAAAGGGTAGATAACGTTCATACACTTAAAAAAAGGTTTTATGTAATGTTAATACACGAATAGTGAGGGTTTATTGTTTTACACTTATTTTTTTATAGTGATAATTCTACAAAAGATGTATTTTGTGGAACTGACGTATATTTTCGAAAATAGTGAGTGATGTAATTTTTAAGTCGAAGTTTTGAAACTCCTGCCTTCTCTCCATTACAAAACTTAACAATTGACATTAATAAAACGGCTTACGAGATTCTAGAATATTGCAAACCCTTACTTAAACATTACATGGCTCGAATACATTTTTCAATATTCAAAATAGAACAGCTTATCATCTTTTCTCAAAAGGAATAATTATATTCAAGATATCAAGGATGATGTTTTGATTTTTCACAACTGTCATATAAACGACACAAAAACATCAACTGATTAAGTTCAAATTTTCAAGAATGATCGATTTCAGTCTTTGCAAATTCATCGAGATACATAAAAGATCGTTGGGCTCTGCTGTAGATATAAAGAATGTACACAACAGACTTATTTGTCCATTAGATCAATGATTAGAATAATAATAATAAACTATGAAAATGAAATTAAAATAAATACCCAGCGAATAGCAACAAGACAAACAAACAAACAACCAGCGCCAATCAAAAAATCAAAAAACAATATAATCTCTGGTCGAAATGTGATAATTAAAACAAAATAGCGTTTGCTGGTAGTCGATTGTCCTTGGAAAAGGTCTATCGTCTTTTCGACATTTTATACATTGCACATTTCCTATTAGTATAATTAAGCTAAATAAAACATGCAAGTTTCACATTTCAGTCCTCAAGTGACAGTGGCTACAAGCTTTTCAATTCGAAAAGACCCAACATTTTAACTCGGACGTATTTAGAGGCGCAACAAATCTCCAATAGATTTGGGGCGACATTTTTTAGATTCGGATTCGAATTTGAATTTGTTTTCTAGAATTTGGGACTTGGCTTAGATCTAGTTCTAGACCCGAATTTCGTTTGAATTTTAGCAATCGTTTGGATTTGGGTTTTCGACCTACATAATCCCAACTTTGAAACTACGTTGGAATGAAACAAAATCCGAATGTCAAATCCAAATTTAAATTCAAACGCAAATCCTACGCACCCAAATCTAAATAGCGGCGTAAGTGATCTCTGAAGGCAGAGAGCCTAGCGGGCGCAGAGAATTTTTAACATAAACAGGTGCTCAAAATAGGAGGCTGTGTAGTTAAATTTTTAAAGAGAGGGGGGGGGGGCGTAACGCCCCACGCCTCCCATATTTACGTCCCTGAATCCAAATCTAAGATCCAAATCCAAATTCCAAACCTAAACATATACCAGATTCAAACTATTTCATATCAATTTTGAATGGTTGCGATTCTTTTCTCTTTTCTGACGCTTTATCTTACAAAGCCTCGTCAGATTTGGGTAATTTAAGACCAAGCGTAAACCCAAATCTTTCTACACTAAATTCCAAGGCCTTGGATTTGTTGCACCCTAAATATATTCAATCTGTTCATTGTTAAATAGAACATTATCTTTATAAAAACTAATAACATAAAATAAACGTAAAATAATGCTCTTACAATATCATACGACATCTTACAAGATTCTGATTTGCAACTTTTGCAAGAATCATGTAAGATTTACAGAGGTATCTTACAGTATGATATTGGTACGTTTTCATAAAATAATACAACATGAATTTTATGGTGTCCGACAATCAGTAAAATCTTGTACGATTTCTGTAAAATGTTTTGATGTGATAATTTCATCAGTTTACTTTGTGCAATAATTAAGATGCTTATGAAAGAGATTTTTTATGTTGCTCGTATTAAATTGAAATAATTCCTCATGATGAAAGGTTTTTAGCACTCGTAAGGTGGTAATAATTTGTCAATAATTTTTAATTATTCATATATTTCGTGTCGATTCACATTCTTTCTTGTTCTTGTTTAATTTGAAAGCATAACTAGCGTGCATTTTTTTGCACATTCATGCATGATATTCATATTCAATGATGATAGACAGAGAGTATGTAAAATGGAAATAAGCTAGAAAAAACTGTCCAAATTACAATTGTTCTTCCGAGAGAAAAAAACATATGCAAAGTACAGGTAATGTACGAAGGAAAAAATGACTCTGCCTATAGTTATTTTATTTTTCAATAAAGGGTAATATGGTCTTTTATTTGACAGCTGTAATGGTGGAGTTTTCAAATAATTATTATTTTTTATTATTTTGAAATTTTCTATTCAACAACTAAAAACGTTTCATTATAATAATGAGTTTACGACGATCAATTGTGTTATTAATATTGTACATTTATCGAACTATTTCGTCAAGTGGTCGACGTTTTCGTTATTGGAGGCTTGCTATTGTCGCTGTCATTATCTGTTTCATCATTGCTGTATCTACTCTAATAAAAAAAACGACTCTTGGTAATAATAGTTTAGAGCATCGATTATCGAAGATAGAGGAAAAAAATAAAAAACATGAATTTATCATTGAACAACGATTTATGACTATGTTTATAAATGAAACTAATACTAACATAACATTGTAAGTATTTATTTGATATAATTAAAAAGTAAGTTAGATTAGAGGATAAGAAAATTTTTTGCTATTCCTTTAGAAAGGAATCACATGAAAAAATACCATCTGATGCACGTTTACGTTATTCATTTATTGATATTGATCATCTTAATGTTGATATAAGTTATCTTGATGAAGCATATCGTCCTTCACAGCAATTAAATATCGATCTTTTATCTGCAAAGAGTCATCCATATACGCGTATACTTAATGTTAAAGGTAATTCTACTGTTATCATATACAATCGACTACCGCAATGTTACGAATTTACCATGAGATCATTATTACACGATGTATCTCGTGTTCATTCATATACTTATGTATCAAGTACAATATATGTTCCATTTTCTTATAATAAATCTGCATCACTTTCGATAGCACGATCGTTAAATCAACATAAATTTAAACAATTAATATATGAACGACATATATATTTCTTTGATTTTTATGCATTACAATTTCCTAATCATCCTGTATGGATTAATCTAGTTCGTGATCCAATAGCTAGAATAGCAGCAGAATATGAACGTTCACGTGAAATTTGTCGAACGACAAATCGTTGCTTTGTACAAGCAGATACAATAAAAGAAACACTTGATGAATGTGTTGTAAAACGATCACCAAAAGAATGTATTTCATCTCAAAATGGTATTGCAAGGATGTTACCATTTTTTTGTGGGCTAACATTTCCAAAGCGATGTCAAAAAGAAAATGATTGGGCATTACGAAAAGCAAAACAAAATATTAACCTTTTCTATACAGTTGTTGGTATTGCAGAAGAATTTTATAAATTTTTATACGTTCTTGGTATGTTCTTTTATTTGAATTTAAACGAAAATGACTTGTACTGATGAAGTCTTCTTTGTGAAACTTACGTAGTTTTTCGACGAAAATATAGTCAATGAAAGTTTAAATCGAAATTTTGGCAACTCCTTCTCTAGGTTTTAGATATCCGGAAACGGGGAAGCCAAAGATAACTGGAGACGTTTTCATAGCAAAGGAGGAATGAGGAAGGTCAACGATTATCATGCACGTTTTTCTAGTAACATGAGAAGCTGCATCAGTAATAACAGCGCTTCCAATTTATTTTGCAATTTTATAGAATCTTTCAAAGCAGTCTATGAATCTAAGATTTCTACTCTAGATTCGAACTAATCCAAATATTGCAGATTTTTGCATTTAATGCAGCGAAATAATCTTATTGTAGGTGCCAATCAGTGGTATTATTTATGTAGCAAAGTCAGAATATAGTGGATATTCAAAAGTATAAACTTATTGAATTATAATTTTAGGTAAAACTTCACAGTATGCGCTAAAATTCGTTGAGAGAAAGGATAATACATTCGGAAACTTACTGAATGGTTAAATCTATGTGTATAGCAGGCTAATGTGATGGTTGAACCGATGAAACGAAAAATCAAAAGATATATGCCGCTTCCAATAATACGTATAATATATATTATCATTAAGAGAAAAGAAATTATATCATTGAATATATATCTGATAATACAAAAAAGTGCTTTTAATATATAAATATTAAATGAATCAACTAAATTGATAGAATAGGAATTATAAAGGCAAACATTTTCAAAAGGATAAAATCTAAAAACGTGCGTATCAACTGTAAAATTATTATAATTTCGAATTATTTGGCATTTTCTTGTAAATAATTTGTTTTAATCTCTCTGACAATATACCATAAATGTATAATAGTGAGAATTTGTAAGTTCCACATTTTGTTTCTCTATGAAAGCGCACTGACAAGTTTTTTTTTTTATTATGAAATAGTTAATGTGTTTTGTTTTTTCATTTAGAAAAACTCCTACCACAATATTTTAAACTTGCTCGTCTTATATTTATGAATCAACAAAATTCAAAAATATTGGTAGATGACAGAGATTTGAATATTCGACTTCCAAATGAAAACACAATCAAACTTCTTAAACCACTTCTTCAATACGAATATGATTTATATGATTATATTAAACAACGATTTTTACGTCAATATGAATTATTAGTTGAGCTTGATAATTGAACTTTGTTTCAAGATGACAAAAAAAAACAGAAGCAAATTTTATTTTAGTGTTTCAATCTGTTCTTGAATTATTAAGAAAGTTTTTAAAATTACATGAGCATTTTCATTGGCAATAACCGACTATAACATGAAGGATAAATAACAAGAATCGTCGAAAATAATTCATAATCGAATAGTTATGAATTGACTCTTTTTAGTAAGACTCAAAAGATGAATGTTACAAATAAACTAGACTTTTGTTATCTAACTGTTAATAAACATTTATTCATCTATCCTTCAAGTCATGACTTGCTCGAAAGCAATTAGAAGTTTTTTGCTTATAAGAATTCTTAGGTTCGCATATGGCTCCCTCCTCTCAAGTTTTGATCACTGATACAAACATTTTGTAATTGAATCGGTGCTTGTTTTTTTATGAAAATCACAGAAATTTCTGGCTGCCTTTCAAAGGAAAATAGCGAGTAGAAGTTCAAAGTCATCGTTTTCCAGCTCTTCCTAATTTTTTTAGCAATCAGAGTCAAATGTCAACAGTCTAGTCCCCTAGTAACTGAAGACTCAAGCAAGTATGATCAAAAGTCAATCAGTCTGTTTCATTGTTAGCCAAAACTAACAACCAAAAGTTTCAATCATTGACCTACTCAACCTCAAATATTACTAAAAGTTAAGGACATATTCTGCTAAAACAAAACGTATTGATTTAGATTCAATCTATCATGATTGGAATACAATTAATCATTTGCTAAGTTAAGACTCAATATTTCTATATCTTTACAAAAGTTACTAGATCATTTATTTCTTTTTGTACTTGAAAATCATCGCCACTCATTGATTTTTATTTTCAATTAGTCTAATTGATTGATAATGATCGAATGATGAAAATGAAATAGGTATATAAATAATATACATATTTTGTACTATTAGATTGCATATATGATATCAGTAATTATTTATTTAGTGTTTCTCACTATACAGCTTTATACAAATGGAGATGTTCCTTTTTCTAACTTTAATAAAAAAGAACAAGATATGTAAAGATTTTGTTTAAGGAATAATATGGTTACCTGACAATCAATTTAATTAAATATTTTGTCCATCTATCATGTTATACATAAAAATTAGTTTTTTTTATCAAATAAAAGTTAATAGATGGGTGTATGATTATTAAAAAAACTTAGAATTATTTACATAACTCAATATGAAAAAATATGACTTTATCAGATAGACTTCTGAAGAGAACTGTCTGACTATCTTTAGCATTACAGCTTTGTTTTATTGATAAAAGTAGATTTCGATGGAATTAGAAAAGAATTTTTACAAGAATTTATATCCTTAGATTTTCTTTTCAAAACGATGACTATTGTAATGTATATTCATGTGAAAGAATTTTCATAAATTAAGATAGACGATACTCGAATAAATATTGAAAAAGAAGCGGTCATTTTTGTGCACATTGTCTTTTCGATAGAACACCTACCGATAGAGAATTATTTCGAAGAATTTTAGTTGCCTATAACTATTTTATAAAAGTTATTATTTTTGACGAAAATTGCATACGGAAAGTAAAGAAAATAGACAACATTCATTCAAAAAATGTACAAGAGGTTCAATAAGATGAAGTTCAACGTTGATTTTTGTTGTTGATTAATTAAGGTGATACTGTATGAATATTTTACACTATAAGGTAAATTTCATAATATGAATGCAATTTCAATCGAAAAGTCGAATAACTTTGATTTTTATGCATGGATCATTCGATAGAGAATTTCAAAAACTCGATGAAGACAATCAGTAACTCATTTGAAAAGATATATTACTGATATAATATCTCTCTTTTATACCATAAAATTCGATTCTTTTTTTAAATTAGTTGTCATAGTCTTATAATGCAATGAAGTCTATACTAGAGATCTCACCGAGTCAAAGAAAGTCGGCCCATCGTTTGTCGACCTTTGACTCAGTTCGATCCATGACTTTTTTTGCGTAAAAGATGGCTAATCCGTGGGCCATTCATCTAATTGCATTAAATAACTTATTAACACTTGAATGGGCAAGCATATGTCGAGTAGAGTAGTTGATGTATAAGCAAATGTTCAGTAACATATTTGACAACTTCAAAAATTTTCAAGTCTCTCGAATTCAGCAATATTTTCTAATTTTTTTTAGTCGGAAAACCAAAACTTTCTAGATTAAAAAATATATTTGCTTTTTCATTCTTAATAACAACGTATGTTGATCGTTATTATTTCAAAACCAATTTGATCCGTTCGGAAGTGCACTGTTTTGTATGTGATGATGAATCAGCACCGGTAATTGAAGAAAATGTCTTAACAAAAATTGTTGATTGAAGAAGTTCAGTAGGAATAAAATTACAATTAGAAAAAGTAATTGACGATCGCATTGTACTTGTTGATGAATGAGAAGAATTAGGCAAGAACATTTTATTAAATATAAAAAAAGTTTTTTAACGTGACGACAATATTATCCCTTACTTTTTTTATTTGTTGTTCATTGTAGAAATCTTTTAACCAATAGAAGATTTACATGGGATTATTTATCGAAAAACAATTTAGCCGAAATACGCAATATCTATAGAAAAGTTTATGTTTTATTCAAAATCCGGTTCATAGGCGTTTATTGCTATCTCGAATCAGTCCGGTCCAGCCCATGATTTTTTATTTAAAAAAATAATTCGCCAAATGGCTCCTATTCGGCTTGACCAATTGAGGTCTCTGGTCTATATCTAGAAGTAATAGAATAAACAACTGCTTTTTTTTGTAAAATTGACAATGTCTAATCAAATAAATAGCGCTCTATCCTTAAAGAATGAATAACATGATAATTATGATAGGCATATCAATTTGAAAATATTCGATATTAGACAAGATTTACTGAATTTTTGTTTTATTAATATCTTTAAGAAAGTATTTTAAAAAGAGCATAATAAAAGCATGTTCGTCAATTTATTTTATTATTTAGTTGTATTTTTTAAAATTCTGTTTTTGGTCGAGTTTTGAGGTATTCTGGAACTTTTGGTTGTTTTGCAACTTCTTGGATATTTTGTTTTAACCATTGATAACTATTTAAAATATTTTCATCTATTCCAAGAAGAGTTTTTCCAATACCAAAAAATAATAAATCAACCCATGTTAAATGATTACTAACAAAGAATGAGCCACCATTACCATATAATTTACCTAATACTTCAAGGTTTTGTAAGTGTTTCGGTAAGTTATCAACTACAAATCTTTTTAAGAGTTGGTCTCTTTTCGTTTCATCTGGTTCCCAACGTGCTGATACATATCCCGTCCTAAGATCATTAATTGTATCAGCCACAGCATCGACTTTGGCTTGTTCAAGATTATCTTTACCAGCTAATTGAAATTGTTTAGCAAGAAAACGAGCTATTGATATTGATTGTGGTAATTTCTCTCCATCAAATTTTCAGAACAGGCACTTGGCCTAAAGGTATTTCACTTTTATGTGATGGTCATTGATCACGTTCATAACGAATATCTTCATATTTTTTACCAGCAGCAGCAAATATTAAACTAAAGACTTCAGCGCGACTGCGTCCATTAAAATAGTATAGCTTGTACGTCGACATTGTTGCGGCCGAAATGTAGCTAGTATTTGTAAAAGAAAGAGAAAATGTTATAAATGAGAAAAGATTTGTATAAGAGACTAGTAAAATTATCGTCCACACCCTGCTCGGCTTTTTTCTCGTTATCGTCGACGACTACTGCAGAAAAACGAGAAAAAGAAAGAAAAAACTACTGATAATGCATATTCACCTGCAACAAATAAGAAATTTAGTTGACTAACCCAACAAAAACAACATTCTTTGCTCCGTAGATAACGCCAAAAATGTACTCAGCTTCTCTCGCGAAAAAGGAAAGGCAAAAAATTAATACTCTGTATTGAATCGATCATTATATTCATGATTTTTCCAAATTAGTACAATCGACTGATAATAGTCAATTAATGACAGTAAAATGAATCGAGAAGTATTGATCAGTAAAATTATCTTTGGTAATCTTTATAGATCTATATTCGAAACAATTATGATTTACATCACTTATAAATAAAGAACATTTCTTATACTTTTCACTTCATGTGACAAATTGATTTTGCACGATAGAATTATTGTATGCCAATCATGCCAACTTTCCTTGCTTATAATTAGATCTCAACGAGACTAGTAAAAGCCTATAAAAGTTCGTCCCCATGCACTGTTCGTTCCAAGACATTACAATTTAACTGAAGTTTTTCATTCCTGACAAAGTATATCTGAAAAAGTCGAATTCTGAAATTTTGCTCTGAATTTTGCCCGTGGTTAGATCCCCTGGACTTTAGAGTGTTGTAAAATTTGAGCTCAAAATAATATGTCTTTCTTGAAATATCGAATCTTGAAACTATGTAGCTTTCTAACCTTTTCTTGTGATGCACTATTGTTTTTGGATATTCAATATCTCGAACAAAACATATTCGTTTAGGCACAAATTTTTAGGGCATTTTACGATCTATGAGACCTACCTATATGCTAATTTTTAGGTTGAAATTTCAGAATTCAAAATTTTTCACAAATAAATTATTAAAGATAAAATGTGCAGGAAAATTGTACAAAATTAGAAACGACAGCGTATGGCGATGAAGCCTGATAGACTTCTATTAGCCTTATCAGGACTTAATTATGGTCAAAATATCAGTTCAATTGGCGAGTCACACTTGGAGACCTTCTCTCTTAAGACAAAACTACTATTTTCCCACAATATTTCGTGAACATTTAATATCTTGTCAAGAAAACAAGCATTTTTACAAAAATTTTCACGACATCATCATAATAAGCAAACCTATTATAAGCAAATTGTAGTTGAACGTTTAACCATTTCTTTTTTCCCTAATAGCCAGCATATAGGTGCATTGGGATGTCAATAAAATGGTAATAATCTCGAAATGAACATGCATGACTTCAACAATCATAAAAAATATATTTGTATATCAGCTGTAATAAAATCTTTCTTAATGATGAATCATTTAATAATGGACTGTGAAAAGAAATAGTGTTGTACATGTTCACTACAATATATGACGCATATTTATTTCAATCAAGAATTTACTACTTTATCGTGAAATAAAAAGTTCAACAGCAAAAACCAACAAAAGAACTAAAAAATCTTTTGCATTCAAAATAACCAACACCATTGCATAGATTCGTTTGCACGAAAATAGTCACAGCTATATTCGTTTCACTTGGTTTCTAATGTATTAGAATACATAGCGATATAAAAGACTTTTAAAAAATCATAATAAACTATTTATCAAATAAATTCTTAACATAATATTAATCTTCTTCCGCAAACTGCATGCGATTAAAGAAAAGATGACTAAATATATATTTAAATGTTTGTTTTTAATTATTCCTTAGGTAACCAAAGGATTCTATGAATTTTCGGTATTCTATTTTAAAATTTTTTAATGAGACAATTTCAATAAAAGATAAAGATATCTATGAAGTGAAAATTTTATTTTCCGAAATATCATTTTATTGTTACGTAAGGCAAAAATGAGAAGCAAGATGACGTACAATAATAAAAGGAGTTCATTGAAACTTCATCTCAATAACATGTTCAAAAAAGAAGTTAAAAGAAGAATAAGAACAGAGAAGTAATCTATGAATGTTTATTTTTTAATTTTGTTTTTTTACATTGCTGTTTGTGGTCGGTTTTTGAGATACTCTGCAATATTTGGTTGTTTTTCAACTTCAACACGGTTATTTTTTAACCATGGATGATTATCCAAAGCCTTTGCATCTAATTGAAGCATAATGTATCCCACTTCATAAAAAAATAAATCTACCCATGTTAAATGATTACCAACAAAGAATGGACCACCATTACCATATAATTTACCTAATACTTCAAGATTTTGTAAATGTTTGGGTAATTCTTCCGCAATAAATTTTTTAATAAGTTCTTGCTTTTTTATTTCATCTGATTCCCAACGAATCGGTACAAACTTAGTCGCTAAATCGTTAATTGTATCAACAACAGCATCGACTTTAGCTTGCTCAAAATTATCTCTACCAGCTAATTGAAATTGTTTAGCAAGAAAACGAGCAATTGATAATGATTGTGGTAATTTTGTTCCATCAAATTCGAGAACAGGAATTTGACCTAAAGGCATTTCACTTTTATGTGATGGCCATTNGAAAACTTCTTAAATGAATAAAATCACTAAAAATCATTAGGCTTTGATGGAAAAATGAGCTTCATTTTTACCCGGTGACTAATGCTTTTGATTGTTAAACTTATTCGTCGAACGAATAGCTTTATTTTGAAGCATTCTATTCATTTAATTACAAAATAGTCAACTATTTTTCATAGCGACTAATTTTCGTAGCGACCAATTTTCGTAGCGACTAATTTTCGTAGCGACCAATTATCCGCGACCAATTTTCGTTCGACCATTTTTCGTTCGACCAATTTTCGTAGACCCCGTATATGGTAATATTTTCGTATCTACTTTTTAAATTCAGCTTCATTCAAATGAAGTTGAAAATAAAATAATGATTCATCATCATTGGTTAATTTCAACACGAATTCCTAAATTTTAAACGATCACAAAAAAGATAAATGTACACATAGACATATGTCACAGGCAAAATTTAACTTTAGGCAAAATTAAACTCAGGCAAAATTCGTATTAGAAGAGGCGCAAAATTGTGAAAATATTTTCGCTTTATTTAGAGATGATTTTTTAAAAATCATTTACATTTAGCAAGCTCATCAAAACATTCATTCTCATTTAATCGGTGCAATAATCCAACATATCCATAACTTCTTTGCGGATTTCACAACTATCATATGATCCTCGTTTAATTTCCAAACAAAAATATTTAGAATAAGAAAAATATCATTTGAACATTCTTGACTACTTTTTATTCTCATCAATATTTTTCTTCAAACAAAATTTGAAAAATTGTTCTTATACTGAAATCATTGACAACCATAACAAGCTAGAAAGAATTGTCACCGATCGTCATTATATGTTCTAATTGTTTGTTTATAACTCTCATCTTTATTCACTTTTACAAGAACAAATCACATAAATAAAATGTGCCTAATACCTGGTGCACTTTATGGTTAAAAAGAAAACAAAAGAATACTCATTCGATTGTATGCATTTTTTTAACCGCTGTAATAAATTATTTTATCGACATTAGGCGAAATGAACATCTAGAACTAGTCTAGAGGCAATAAATGTTTTAAAGTACTATTCAAAAACTGATTCCTTTTTTCTTTTTTTTCTCATGTTTTGGTCGGGTAGAGGCTGAATGTTCTGAACATTTTGTTATATATCTTTGTAACTTTCATAGAAAGGATGTAATGTGGTTAATAGGTTGAACAGTTCCTGTTTAAAAACTAGAAAATTAAAATTTTAAAAATTTTTTTAAGCAACCGTAATGAACTTTTTTTATCAACATCAACTGAAATGAGCATCTAGAACTATTTTAAAGGCAATGAATATTTTTTTAGGTACTATTCACAAAGCATACTTTTTTTTTCATCCTTTAATTTTTATCAATACAATACTCTCGATCTTTCATCGAAACTAATGAATAATAAGTCGAGCAATAAATCTCAGAAATAATAAATAACACAATATATATTTGTATACACATTCAATCGCAAAAAACGTTCCTGGAGATAGATGCAAGACAACGCTCACTAACCAAGGTTTTTCAGGAACTCCCACCTCATAACATGCACTATCTTCCAATATACACCTAGTGCAACTACAGTGCTCACGAAAAAACTTAATGCATCATGCTCACTTCACACTAGTCTTGACGATGTCTGCAGATAAACACTAAACATTACCTCAAATCTTATGCTAAATTACATACAAAATGCAAGCAAACTCTACATCTTCCTAAATCTTATACTAATTTATATAGAAAAAGCTAGCATAGTCTTTATCTTAGATTTAGTATGTACCTTGTTTTAAAATCTTACACCACAGATGATAGCTGCAGTATAACATTCACAGGTCTATTTTTTTGTATTAATTTTCGAAAATTTAAACTTTGAAAAAGTCAGTATAATTTTGCCTGACACATATACATATACGATAAACTCACATCTTGAGAATTTCCAGTTTGAAATTCAACTTTGAACCGAATTTTTCTATTTTTAAATAAAAGCAAATGAGAGATAATTCTTAATGAGATTATTTCATACCTTTTGTCAGTTACTCCATTTGATACACATTGAATGGTAATATTTTTATTAAAGACCACCGGTTGTGATGATGCTGATGCCATGATCACCTTCTGAAAAACAAAATTGATAAAGATTTCTACAAAGACAAATAGTGTCTTTGAAAATAAAATCAATATAATGCTGAATCATTTTTTTAGTGTAGACATGGCCATAGTAGTTATAAGTTGATAACTATATGCTCAAATCAGGTCGCGTGCCATTGGTACGCGTTTATTGGTTGAGATAAGCTCCATACATTGTTTTACCATTGCATTCCAAGAGGGCGAGACATAGTAGAAATGATTGATTATTATTTGAAGTGAATCACAAACCGCAACATGAGATATTCAGAAGATCAACTCATTATCTAAATATCTTTATTTATAAATACTTTTTATTTTCACCTTAATTTTTATTTGTTGTGAGAAAAAGTCTGAAGCAAAATAATTATTTATAAATAGATGTCACCATTTATCTACTTATGATACTTTTCTGATGCCTGTTAAATAAACTTTTCCTCCTTTCTGTCATTGAAAGTATTACTTTTCTTATCTATTCGTATATGTTTCTATTGATTGACTGGAATCCTTATTCTTTCTATCTTTCCATTTCTTATTCTTCTCTTTTTATAAATGTGAACCAGATTACGGCACAATAAATTATAATGTTAAAAAAAAATAGTCGTCTATATATATAGAAAAGAGCAAGCATAGAAATGGCCATATTGGATGTGACTAAGTGTTTTTCTTCTTCACCAATCAGCTTTACCTGGATGATAAAGAGAAAAAAAAGAAATGATAACAGTGAATATACTTCTGAAACCGAAATCATCTCTCTCTACAATTTATTTTCTAGAGAGACATTTTTTAGCAGTATTTATAACGAAATATACTTGTTTTATATTAGAAAGAAAAAAAATTCTCGAATTTTATTAACAGTCAAAACTACAAAAAAGCTTATGATTTGATTCTATCTATCATTTCCGCTCGTTAGTTCTTCTTCAATTAGTACAGTAAATTGATACTAATCAAATGATGATAATATTAATAAGAAGATAAACATCAGTCAATGAATGTGTCGACATTCTCTCATCCTTATGTTCACGGCAATAGGCATACATGTTACTTCGAAATTTTGAACATCTCCTCCTACTTTTTTCTTCATATCATAGTCCAAATCAAACAAATAAGAAAAACGAATCGTACAGACATCGGATACTTATACTATTCATATATGATTTCAATTCTTCTTTGTTAATTACTTTTTTTTTCTCATATACATGTATATATATATATATATATGTGTGTGTATATGTTCACCATGATATTTAGAACTCGTCATGAAATATTGGAAGTTATTTTAGTGAAGAAATAATATGCTTACATAAGAATTCATGTAATTCACTTATTGAAAAGTGCTATAATTGAACACTCAATTCTTACCTATTGACATTGATGAGAAAAAGCTCTTGTCAACAATCGTCGTCTTATTCATTCATTCATTCATTCATTTACATTCTTATTTGTAAAGACACATTGAGAAAACGAATATATGAGTATAGTTATTGTTGATCAAATCACATGCATATGTCTATTTATATATGGTCCGATTTTGCGCTTACTATTTCATATTTGGTATATTATTAAACCATTTTCGTATTCATTCAACCATTTATTACTCATTAAATGAAAGTAAAAAGTTTTATAGATGAATCGATGTGTGTTTATGCTCAATGAATAAAATAAAGTTGGCTCATTGACATGGATGACCGCAACAGGATTGAATAACAACAAATGGAAGATAGACAATCCAATATGAAAAAAAATAAGAGTCATAGAAACGTTTCGAAAACTGAAAGTCGATTCAAGGCTAAATTCGGTATGTTCGATTAATAGATTTTTTTCACAATATTTTTTTTTCTTAATAGAATTTCTGAAGAAATTACCTCATTCAGTATTGTCTAATAGTGCGGTTGAAAAAGCACGAGCATTTTTTCGCTCATCAGAACCTAAACATCATGTTAGTAGTAATATCAATGAACAATCATCATCATCAAATCAACGACATACTACTGTTAATATTCTGCCTTTTATGAATTCCACTGTTATTAATCAAAATATTCCAAAAACTAATAAATTATTACATTCAATAACTCCTACAACTCATTTTTCAACATCAAACATGATAAGAGTTGATAAAATAAATCCTAAAGATATGATTAGTCATCAACTGATTGATAATGATCAAAGCGATTATAAACTACCATCAAATTATTTTCAAAATAAATATAAACACTATTTAAAACCATCATTATTAATACCTAAACAATACTATAATGATATATTGTATAGACGAAATCAATATTATTTCACTTCTATCAACAAATACGGTGAGAAAAACAAGAAATTTATTTCAGTGTTGTAAAAAAAAACACAAGTGAACGTAAGTTCAATTGCTCGATAATGGCATCTACAATAAAAAGAAAATAACTCTTGACGTCTTTTTGTCTGATACTGTATAAGATAAAAATTATTTTAAAATCCATTGTTTTCGCAATACTTTCAAAAAAAAATGCATGAAAATGATGTTCTGTTTCAAAGAAATTTCGATATATAGACATGTAGTTCAGATCGAGGAACTTCAAGGGATTATCTTCTCACATGTTAATGTTGAGCAAACAACATCTTACATCCATTCGATTAAACTATTATATCAAATTCCGTTGCTTTTCAGTACATTTGCTTGAAACGGAACATCGTTATCATGCATTTTTCACATGTTTTGCAGCAATGATGACTCTTAAAATAATTTTGTCTTACATCATATCCGACAAAAATATGTCAAGAGCTCTCTTCTTTCCATTGCTAAAAAATTACAGGTCGACAGCAATTGTCGTTGTCGAGCTATTGAGCATACGCCCACCCTCATTTAATTGTGGCGTGCACATTAGTCATCATTATTCTCTTTTTTTCCCTTGATTCTAGATTCATGTCCACGCTCATCTGCATTAACATTAAATCGAAATTCGACATATTCGAATCGCTTTTATTCACCATATAATTATTTGACTCCTTCTAACGAAAATTCATCATATGATCAATTGCGTACTTCGTTGTATAATTATCGACCCTATGCCCATTGTGAAATAAAATCTTCATTTGATGAACCATACTTTCGACCTACACCCTCTATAATACAACCATTACCATCATCATCATCAATGTCAACATGGAATCAATGTGTTCGTCGTCTTAATACAGAATATAAATTAACAACAATTGCACTTCAACAAGCAAAAGAATGTTTAGAACAAGTTTATTTGAATCCGAAAAAATCAATTTCAAAATATGCTAATTTAGTATCATGTGATATTAAGAATTTCTCAAATAATGAAAGAAAAAAAACAAACAATGTTACATTCTGTTTACCACCATCATCATCATCAATAACTGAAAAATTTTCTTCGTCTTCAATATCAGTAAGACAAATTGAACAAAACAAAAATTTTCCATGTACTTTTCTTTTGAAACCGAAATTCATTAAACCTGTTGAATTAAATACATTTTCCTCATCATCAAAATTAGAACCTGTATTAACTATTGTTGAAAGTAACGACAGATTAGATTCTATTGATGCTATTATTAAAAAATTTAATAATCTTAATGGTTCTTTATCAACAACTAAAGTGGAATCTCCAACTATTATTCACAATAATCAATCATTATCATCAAAAAGTGATGTTAATATAATTAATCCTGATGTTTATGTTAAACCATCAATAATTAATTATGATTTTAAAAAAATTCCAGATCAATCTCTATTATCATCATCATCATCATCATCATCATCATCATCGTCATCATCAGAATCAAATATAATAAATAAAATACATCAATTAGAAAATTCTCTACAAGAAGAAGAAACAACATATACAATAGAAACATTTTATCAAAATACAGATAATAATGAAAATAATTCATCATCAAATGATCAACATGTTGTTATCATTGAAGAAAATACAACTGAAGAAGAATTTAATTTAGCACATGAAAAACGACATCATGAAATGCAAACAAATCGTACCTCTCCTCAACATATGATAGCAACTAATGAACCGAAATTTCCATCATCCCTTAATTCATTTCTATTTCCATCACAAAATGAAAAGTAAACATTCTTCTATATTTTCATGGGTAGTTTTTCTCATTTTAGTTTGTATTCTATTGAAACGTCCTCGAATCATTTCATTAGGAACACATTATCGAGTAGTGCAACTTCATCTACTCTTCCCATTAGTCATCATAAAGATTGTACTTCATCGACATCATTGAATAATAATAATAAACCGCCTTCACACATACCCATACCAAAACGTTCAACAACAACCAAAACACGTATCTCTCATTTAGAGCAACCTTCAGAAATTATTGTACCATCTACTAAATTAAAACCACCATCTTCAAAGATTGTCAACAATATAACTACATCAATACGAAAACCAACAAAAATTACAACTAACAAAATTCAATCACAGGTATATGTAAATAGTTATACTATTTAATATCAAAAGAAATAATATTCTGTTTCAGTCATTATCTACTACTTCAAAAAAACAATCATCACTAAATAGTAGTCAAATAAATGAATCTCAAAATAGAACAAGTAAAAATTCTAATTTTCATATATTTCTTGATGAATAATTTATACAAAAAAGAAAAAAAGAAGCAGTCTAATTAGATTTTAAATATAGAAAACCTAAATGAATATATGTTGATTTTATTTGATTAGATCCCACATCTTCCATTAGTAAAAATCATGTCAAATTGATGGCGAATAAAATCAATGCAAATACATCATCTCATTCAATTGTTTCTTCATCAAAATCTAACAAACGAACTCATTGTTCTGTTTCTATTCAACCAACAACATCTACCAGTAAAAATACAATTCAACGAAAATAATCAGCATAATGTTTTTCATTATACATTCGACTTTTGAAACAAATGAGTTTATTATATAAAGAGACAAAAAAAAACGAAAATAATTGTAATTTATTCAATACCAATGGGTACAGATAAACGTAGATTAGAAGTGGTTGCACCTTTCATTTGAGCTGTTATACGTAATTCATATGTAATAGCCATACATGGAACATTATCTGGTTGACCATTTTCATTTGGAATATATGTTGGTGGTATATTTGATGGTAAATTTAATTCACATGTTTGATTTATTTCATTTTCTTGTGTATCTTCATTTATTTCATTAAGTTGACTTGTAAAAATTTCATTTTCAAATTTGATTTCATTTAATGAAACAATTTGCATTAAGTGTGCTATAACTGATTGAATTTGTTTTTGTTTTGGATTCGTTATTGAAATTGATAATAGAACAATAGAACCATCTCGTCCAGAATAAAATGATTTTTGTAAACTACAAACCATGCTTATATCATTACAACCTAATTAAAAACAAGAGAAAAATCGTTGTGAATATAATTTCAATCAATTTTTAATGATGAAAAATTAAAAGATAAGACATTAAGATGATTTGAATGACTTATCATCCAGGGTCATATTTAAATTTAATGAAGTTTTAATAAACACTCAATTTAAAATGATAGAAAACATATTATTTCATTGAGAATTATTTTTGCTACAGTTCTGAAATGATCACAATCTTTCTATCATATTTCATGTCTTGATTTGAACATACAAAGAATCCAGCATTTCTACAGCTCTCAATAGTTGCTAAAAGTGGAGAGACTACAAATTTAACAAACAATCGAAGGCAATCTGTTCGGCAGAAAATGCCTGAGACAAGCTCAGTTCTTGAACTTGGCACACAGTTTTTCATTAACAGCTCGAAATTTTTGCAGACGCGACAAAAAAGAGATGATAGGAGGTTAGCCTATCGGTGACCCTCCTACATCGAGACTTATGTCTCTTTCTCTTCATACTATAGATTGTGGATGATTCAAAATAAATGTCTCGTTCATATCTTTATTATTCTGTTTGCTTTTTGTGAAACATGATCTAAAAAGAGTGTTGAAGTATAAGGATAGAAATCCCCCGCCTCATTCCTCATACGGATCGCAACAAATTCCTTAACAACGTCTTCTTTCCTTCATCATGGACCTTGACAGACACTTTTGTTCTGTGACAAACTATGACAGATACTTTAGTATGGCCACTTTCTTCTTATCAACGTAAGCAGGTATACATACGAGACCGAAGTCTACGGTAAAATTAATTTAATATAGATGTCATTTATCCTTCTTTCATAATGACTGTAATATAAAACTGATTATCATGTTTCATTATCAATATTCATTAATAATAAGTAGTAATTTACAAATCGAAGCCTACATTGATCAATGTGCTCTTTTACAATATTAGCTGTAGTACCGCCGTGCTTCACATTTAAATCCTACAGGGATTACACTAACAATTTTTTTTTACTTAGATTCAGTTACATTAGGTTGAAGACATGATCTATAGAAGATAAACACGAGTATGATATTAGAGATTTTCTTACCTGTTACTTTACAAGGTAATGGAATAGTAATAAGAGGTGCCGGTGGCGCTAATATGATTCTCTCTCGAAGACTTGGTAATAATAGTCCATCATGATAAACATCAAGATAATAAACAATAGAAAATTCTGTAAATTCACATGATGGTGGTAGATTGGAACCAAGTGGAATACGAAATGGAAAATGAATTTGTCGATTTTTTATTATTCTTGCAATACCATTGTCATGTGACGTAACCAGCGGAAATGAAAATGTGAAAAAAACCTTATTGATATTTGATTGTGAAGATTTTTTTGTTGAATTCAATGAAGTTTTTTTATTTTCAATTAACTGACCAATTAAATCAATACGAATTTTTTTTTCAACACGTAACTTTGTACAACTATTTATATGAAAATTACCTTGAATTGTTGAAAGACCACGATAAAAATTATTTGTTGATGAAAGTGTAAGTGAATATTTATTATTTGTTAATGAAGATTTTGTTGAATTCAGACCCATCTTCAATAGAAGAAAAACTAGAAATGAAGATTTTTATTCCTTAAATAAGAGAAGAGAGGAGAAAAAAAAAAAGAATAATCATCGCATGTCATGCTTACATACTTACTCAGAAAATAAAGACAAAATGTCTCATTAACTATACTTTATCTTAGACATGTAAATATTTGTTAGATTAGTGTTAATTATTTTTGCGATAAGATTTCTTTCTTTTTTGTTTTAATTACTTAAAATGAAATATAATACTTATAATGTATTTTTTAAATGTATGATAATTTAATATTTATCTTCGCATTTAACTTTCTATTGTACGCTTGAAGAAATTTACGCAGACAAGAGTCAATATCTTTTTTCCCTTTTTTTCTTCCATACTGTTAGTCAATTTTGTGGAAATATTCTTTTTACATATTCAAACATAACAGCTTTATGTTTCATGTTTAAAAAAAAAAATCATTTTTCTTCATTATATTCATGGTTTTCTTTTTTTAACATTAATAATCATTTTACTTTAAGAAAACTCTACTAGATACATGATTTATAAACTGTCAGCTATATAAAGCTTTTAGTATTTAATCATATTGATTGCTTTTTTATTGATGGCATTTTTATAATGAAAATAAATCACAGAAAAAAAAAAAAACAATTATATTTTCTTCACAGAAAATGTAGAAAAGAAAAGCACTTAAGGACAATGTGGTGAATAGACATGTTCATCAGCTATAGACATGATTCAACGAGTCCATCGCTTTATTTTCATATTTCTACAAATGAAGAAAAACAAATTTAATTAACACAAGTATCTACAGTAACACCTTGAAATAAACTACAGTGTTTCTTTTCTTTGTGAAAAATAAGAAAATATCTGTGAGAAACTCTTTGCATATTGATTACAATATAAGAGTCATAATACCATATTTAATAAAGTTTTTCTCGAAAAAGTCCTTGATAATCTATTCATCTCATACTAATGATATTCTATCTAAAATCCTGTATTATATTCTTTTTCATTTTCAATTCTGACTTTTTATCTGCATATATAATACGACGAAAAAGACTACTATGTGAAGAAACTAGAAAATATATTATACTGATTAGACATGCAATTATTTTGAAGAGTAAAATAACACAATAACTAATTACAAGAAAAACTTTTTAACATATTGAGTATCTAGTATAATGAGAATAAAACATGTTAACACTATGATAGAAAAAAACAAAACAAATTCTTTTATTAATCAATACGCATGAAAAGAATTTTTCTTACATTATCGGACAAAACTTGCACTGATGGTAAATTTTAGAAATTCTTAAGCGTCATTTCCGTGTATACTACAATACTCTTATCAACAACGGATAAGTGCATGAACAGAAAATAAATATGATGTTTGTCATTACATTTTTTTTTTTTTTTTTTTGTATTATCTAAGGATAAAAGAGAAATACTCTTGTTTTCAAAATGAGTCATTTGATGGCGCAAGATAAATAGATGATGTTTCTGATTTCATGAGAATTTTTTTGAACCATAATTATTCTTTAGATGCTATAAAAGATATTAATTTTACAATCATCGAAAAGAATATATTGTTACATAAAGTCCCATATGATGCGTCGTCATTTGAATAGGAAAAAAAATCTTAAAACTAATGATGTAAAATAAGAATTGACAACATAAGGTCATCATTGAAAATTATAGATTAAATTAATAGGTTTGAATATTTGTATTGGTAAAAATGCCTATATATATACTTAAATGTTGATATTAACCCCCTTATCTTCGATAGTGGTTCTAGAACAATTACTCATAAAGTAACCATTCAAATAGAATATTGATCACGTCCGCATGTTAATGGTAATCGATACAGCGACTAAACAATTTACCTTGTATTGTGAAGTAGTGTTATCAGTCCTGTGAGATACTCGTCTCACTTATATGTTATTTCTGTACATCAAGTTTCGTCTTGGGAGTAATTTAACAAGTATATATAGGGCAATAACATAGGGGAGAAACCTGTGCAATGAATAACCTCATAAATTGTGAAGAAAAAAAAATCCATACCATAGAAAATTTCATAGATAATTAGCAAGGAAGGAAACTCAAGAAATCAAGTTGAAAGAGAAAGACTGGAAAGAAAGAAAAGCTCCATCACGTATGACCAACGTCAAGAGAAAAGAATTAGAACATAAGTATATGTGTATAATCATTTAGATAACAAGGAAAAACGCTTATGATTGTATCTGAAGAACATGTAAATCATAACAAGTCGAATGATTATCATCAGAAAAAAGAAGAAAGCAGAACGTTTTGACAACTCATTCTTTTGTTCTATACGATGGTAGCTTTGAATATACAAGAATATTATCGTCTTTTTTCTTTGGTTTGACTAATATAATAAAAGAACCGCAGAGAAGACATGAAAAATTTTTTTAATAGCGCATTACTTAACACAGATATTTGTTTACGAAAACACCACTTGAGCTACTAAATAATAATATAATCAATGAAAGTATTTCATGTCTGCCAAGCTATTGGGAGATTTTTGAAACGTATTGGGATTCACTAATGAACATTTTCGAAATGTATTTTGTCTCCAAGTAGAGAAGACTTTGAAGAAAAATTTTATTTTTCCAAACTTATCAATTTTGTACATAATAAGTTTTTAGCGATAGGACAATGAGACAAAAAAAAAACTTTTGTTTTTTTAGTAACTACTAATCTATAAAGTTTTCGGCAAATAACGTAGAGTTAGTTATGAATTACATGGTTCCATTGTTTTTCAATGATGTTTTTCCAATATCTACATCAGTGGAAAATTCGAAGAGTAAACGATTAAGTTGGCACATCAAAACTAAGTAATCAACACATATATTTGAAATCGTTCGTCAAACCAGTAGTTTTTCTTAGAAGCCTTCCGTTTTAAACTAGAAATGATAATAAAAACGAAACTCACTGCAATTCTGATATTTGCATACATATTTCTTAAGTAAAACATCATGAACGCTCATATAAATATCGATCGAAAAATAGTTTGATAATTACAAGACAAAATTCATCCAATGTTACTTCGAAAACTTAAATCGAATAAAGTTCAATTTTATCTTTATTCTCATTTGATGAGTTCCATAATATTAATCAATATTCATTTTGATGTTTTAGTTTCTTCTATCAAGTATCTATTAATATTCAATTTTCATGTGCAAGAGTTCATGTCTGTCTTTATCATGTTCCATATAAATGTTACCGACATTAGCTTTTCTAGCTTCATTATTTAATACTAAATTAATTCTTCAATTGTATAAGTTCAAGAACTTGTCAAATACTCAGGACAATCATTGTTACCGTGGGACACGACTATGAGATGCCTCGATTCCTACAATAGATAGTAATAAACAATGAGTGTTTTCGTCATTTTGAACAATATTTTAGGTCATAATCTGTGATCCCAGAATCCGAAACACTTCTAATCAGTCTTTAAACGACGTGGTTTAAAGTCGTTTCTATCGAGAAATAATGTGTAGTACTACAATCATATTTTTAGCGCAAACGGTTTATTTATACCATTTTTTTTGCAGTATAAGGCTTTATTTATCTACTCTCCTTAGACTTTATGCCATGTGCTGCGTATACTTTCCATTATTGTGAAACGTTTCAATTCATAAACTGAATTAGTACATTGAAATTAAAACGTGAGCAAAACAAATGATACACAAAGATAATAAATGCATATGAGAAAGGAGAATTAAATTTAAAAAAAAAAACAATTTGTTGAATAGAAAAACATGAAGTTCAAGAAGAGTATCTTTTTGAATCGGAATATTATCTCAGTGGTTTTTTTAATGTTTTCAGAAATGAACAAGCTGTTATTTCAATATGGCATAAGTAGAGTGATGATTGGAAATTGAATAAATTTCTCATCGAGTATCTGGAATATAAAAATATGAATCTTCTCATCTACATTACTTATGTAAAACATGTACTTGTTCTCGATCACTTGATATGAGAAATCATGTTGACGATTGTGTAACAACAACAAAAAAAAGAATAACTAGTGTTTCAATTTCGACCACGAACTTCAGATAAACATTCGAGTTGATCCACTTGGCAATTAACAAATAAGATCATCTGAATTATTAATTATATATCGTTAGTGATTGTCTAACAAGAATTTCAAAATTGTAAATTCAAAATGAAAGGATACAAAAACTGGTGGTCTAAACGATAATTCTAAGGAATATCGTTTATCAACATATTTCTCTTTTTTAAGATACGTCTTCAACCATTATCTTAACGATAGTCGTTTTTGGATCAATCTATACAAAATCGAATAATTAAAGGCATCTTAATTCTCAATCAAGTATATATTTTGAGAATTTTGATTCACCTATTTGTTCAATGAACAATCTTAAATAGTTATTGCTCAAAATCAAGCAAATTTCAATATGAAATGACATCTATAATGAACATAATCACCAATTTAAATAAACATGATCGAACTTTAGCAACAGTTTTAAATTCATTTGTTTTTTTTTCAACTAGATCTAATGATAGAATGATGAATAAGAGTAACGCAATCTAAATTATATTCAACTAAAAATATGTTCTATATCATAAGTAATAACCGACAGTTGCGTTATAGATTTATGCATTTAGTAACAGCTACACAATGTCTATTATGTTTGCTTTATGTTAAAATGATATTTATCTCTGCTGCTAATTTCTTATAATAAGTAAATTATTATGACTTTTTAAATGTCTTAATGACTTTGTTTTCCTAGATATATTGATAAAATAAGGATGAAAAGAGAAAATTTCATTCAGCAGAAACTTTCCCCATCATCTATTGATAACAACGAATGTGGTATGTGAACATTAAAATTTCAAATTAAGTACACTTCTTTTTTTCTCGATAGGAGTTATGCATCATTAGTTGTCCTATTAAACATTGATCATATCTTTTTGTCCTTCATTGAACTAAGCATGTACATAATGGTTGTGATTCTTTAATTGATAGCATTTTTACTTGTCTGTATGACAATCATCTTCATATATTATACATATTCATTCACCTAGGCACATTAACGAACAATATGGGGTGTATAGAGTGAATCTAAATGTGTCAATAAAAAGAAAAGATATGCATATAAATTTATAAATCTGAAAAGTGATTTTGAGTTTTTACTTATGTCAATGAAACAATAATCAGTTCTATATTTATATACAATATTTTGAAATCAAAAACATTCTTATTTATTCTTCAAACAAAATCAATCAAATATAGAACAACAAATCAATTGTTTGTTTTCTTATTATGTCAATCATCTTCGGGCTATTCTCTAATATCTAATCAATGCATGAAATTTCAGAAAAGGTCGAACAACTTCAAAGTAAGAAATAGAATACATTCAAGGAACTGATAAAGAGAGTTACTAACATTATATAAATAAATATTTTGTTCCTCAGTCTGATAAAATTAATAACGGATCAACAAATATATTGTTTGAAAAGCTTTCACTAATATGAAACTTTTGGTTAACGCATGATCAAACAAAAACAAACTATTATTAATTCGTTAGTTATTATGTTAATTATCATCAAAATGTTCGTCTTTTTAATTGTTGTAAAATGAATATTTTGAATTAATATAGAATTGACTTCTTAGAAGGAGAATCATATTAATTGTTCTCCCTCTAGATTCAATTATAACATTTAAAAGATAATAGAATGATATGTATCTATTTGAAGTTTCGCTTATCTTCAGTCAAAGTCTTCTGTCTGTTGTCAATCACAAAAGATCATGAATATTCATTGAAAAATGTCAAACAATCAACTAACACAACAAAAACAGACGATGCATATGACATTCGTATTATATCTGTCATTTCAGTCATATTTTTAAATCAATATCAATAAGAAAAGTTTTTAAACAATAGAAAAAAAATTATAAAAACAATTGGGAAATAAAAATTCTGTCCTTGATGTTTGACTTAAAAGTTTCAACTACATATTATTGATCATATTTTCTTTTACGATAAAAACAACAGTTCATTACATATCATACACACAAACGGAATGACTTCAGCATTAAACACCAGCAAATGTATTTCCTTCAGCACCAGTTATAATAACATCGACCCATAGACGCATTAATTCAACAGTTGGTGCAACTAAATAATAAGGTCGTTCAATTGTTTTAACAATAAATGTTGCTTCACGTGGTTCAGGTGATCTTAATGACATTGATTGTAAATGATCAACATAAACTTCAACGATTGATTGAAAATAAATACAACCACGTAATTTAGTCTCATTTTTATCTTGATAATAAAATAATGAACGATGTTGACGATCAAATACAAACCAACGACGATTCCATGTTTTAAACTTAACTCCACCCATTTTATGAAGATAACCACGGCATGATGTTGATGTTAGAGATATATGAGGAGAATTTAATAAATGACCAGCACCTTCAATATGTGCACGAAGATCAAAGTCAGCTGAACGTACTGGTAAATAACGTGTCAATGGACGTTCCTAAGACGAAGAAAAAATAGGAAAAGACTTGAAACAAAAAAGAAAAAACAAATGAATTTCTACTTGTTTTCGATTTTTTTCACGTAATTTAACTTGATAATCATATTTTTGAATGTTATCATCTAATTTTTCTTCGAGTCCAATATGTTTTATACTTTCATTATGACATTCAGGTAACTAAATTTTTTTTAAATAAAATTATATGTAGAAAAAGATAATTGTTTGATTATTCTTTTGTTTTTTACTTGTTGTTCAGGAATCGTCATTTTTTCCAGTTTAACATTAGTCATCACTTCATTTGAATTGTCTGGATGATTATCTTTTCTTTCCATTCTGATAAAAATTAAGAAAATTTTATTTTGAAAATTTCTAACGGAATAGAGTTACTTTGGTGATGCAAGTCCATTTGGATAATTCAATGAACCATAATGATGTATTGGAATTGACTGATATTCAGTATGACTGGTACCATTAATATTTGACCATGTATCTAAAATGAAAAGCAAACAAACTATAATTACAATAACAACAAAATTAAAAAAAAAATATTATTACCATAAATTCTTTTTTCTAATTCATTCGCTTCTAATTTTTTCTGTTTAAAATATAATTTAAGTTTTTGTTTTTCTCGTTCAAGCTTTTCTTTTTCCATTATAGCTTGATGTAAAGCTATATATTGTTGATGATCAAGATTACGTAAGGCGTTCTGAACGAAAAAGAATTTTGAAGAAAAAAGAAAATGATTGCAAACAAATATGTTTACTTGTCGAATTTGAGCATTTTGTGTAAGAAGTTTTTGTTCATTTTGAAAATTTTCTTCAGCTTTTTCAAGTTCAGATTCACAACGTGTTTCTAATTCCATAAATTGAAATTCAAGATCTTCAAATTTTTTACGTGTTACAGCAATCATTTCTTTTTTTCTAAATCATATCATCAAAAGAACTTTACATAATAGAAAATTAAACTATTCACTTAAAAATTTTCTCATCAGACGGTCGATGCTGTTGTTCAAGTTCATTTAATTCATGTTCATATTTCAAAAGATTTTTTTGAGTATGATCAATTTCATTTCGCATCTAAATATATAACAATTAATGACAAACAAACAAACAATCGAAAAAGTATTTTTTATCTTACAGAATTTTTTTCTGCCATTATTCGTTCAATTAATAATTGTAAATTTTTATTTAATTGTCGTATTTTCTTTTGATCACTTTCACTTGCATTTAAAATTTGTTTGAATACTAATTCATGTTCTCCTTCAATTAATGCTTGTTCAATTTCCAGCTTAAAAACAAAAATACTATATGAACAAGTGTTTATCCGTAGTTATATAGATATAATATTCAACAGACGAGATAATAACAGCTATCGTCATCAAATATAACAGTACCACTGTTATATGATAATATTTCTCTGTAATCTATTAATCATACTCTCTACGTGCGCAAAATAAATAATAATCATTTTTCTTTTTTTTTTTTTGTTTGTGATGAGAGAACTTGTTATTAGTCGATGATTCTATGTAGCCAAAAGGAACATTGACAAACATATCGTCTGGAAAAGGAAATATGTACATGACGTATACTGACTGAAGACTTCAAACGTTCCTTTCTGTATGTCGATATGCATATTGAGGAATATTTTCTATGAAAAGACAGACACACGCACACATGTCATAGATTGAGAAGATCAAGGAGAACGTAGAGAATATGATGTAGTCACGAGCCAATTATCGGAATCATAGAAAAGATCATATTCGAAGAATAACAGAAATAATAGAACAAGCAATTCTATTCTATATTACCTCTCGCATAACTTCATTAAGACGACTTTCAATATTAACAATATTCTTTTTAAGAATAGTTAAATCAGTCAAATTTTTTTGATAATTAATTTCATATTGTTTAATTTGATTTGTGTCGATAGCACCATTATTATCATCCTAAAAGCAATAATTATTCAATATATTTGAGGTCGCCAAATGAATATATCAATCAAATTTTTATCAACTAAGAACATTGAAAACTCTTCCGTCCGGTACATATTTTGGGTTCAATTAATAACCGAGCTAATTTAATCTATGATAAAAACTTTTAGCAACGTTTTCTTGTCTTTGAAAATTGACTATGAGAATAATCGGCAGAAGTAAAAGATAGAATTTTTTCAATGGATTAGTTTAATTAAATATACTCAATCTATTCGTATTAACAGTTAAATTAGTTGTCAATACTTAAAAAATAGACTAATGAAAAATGATACGTACATCTTCACTATTTGATTTGGATGTTGGATGTGTATCAATAACAATACCTGAATCAGATTTTGGTACTTTATGTGTATGAAATGATTGTTTTTGATGCCAAGATAAATCTATATTGTTAGCATCAAAATCAATTGGATAAAGAATTTTTGATAATGGTTGTGGTGATGTTATGCAAATACTTTTAAGACTAGATGCTTTACGTTGTTGAGTAAATTTTTGTTCTTGTTGATGGACAAAATCAGATCGAGAAAAAATTTTTTCATCAGATGATGAAAGTAAATCTGATGATGATGATGAATCCGATAAAAGTTTTTTTTCATTTTTTTGTTTTATTGAATAATTATCATTATGATTTGACATAAGAGATTCTTGTACACGACGTGGAATAGGATTACTAGAAGAATGTGAAAGTAAAAGACCATTTGTAAGAATACGTCGAGTAGATGACGGTCTTCTTTCATGATTATCTATTATTTGATTTGTTGTCAAGCTATTTTCATTGATTAATGATGATGTTTGATCCTTCAACGAACAATCTGTCAGCGAACGACGAATATTTAGAACATTATCATAATAACCTAAAAAAGAAATTATCAATTAGAAGTCAAACCATATATCTCATTATTCAATGGAATGAAAATAAAAAACATTATATCTCCAATCAACCATATAATCGACATTTATGTTATTCTTAGACAAGAAAAACATGTATATGTACTTACTTGTAGTCTCTAGTGGTGGTTTTAATGTTGATGAAATAAAATCTGATAAACTTGATGATGAAGATTGAATTACTTTCATCATTATAATATGTTGAGTAGATTGTTGTGATGATGATAGTTTGTTATTATCCATTATAGATTTTGATAGGTCATCAGTTGGCGTGGAAAATAACATAGGTGAAGATCGTGAAGATGATTGTTGTTTAGGAGAAAGTGATGAAGAAATGATTTGAGCATTGATAACCGGTAATGAAGATGAGTTTTCATCATTATTTGTTGTTAACAATGAAGTAGATAATAAAGATAAAGGATTATTAATTTTAGAAATAATCATAGATGTTGTTCCACATAAACGAGAAACTGGAAGGGTATCAGTAAAATTAGGATATGTTTTGAAGAAAGTATCTGTGTAACATGAACCAATACAATCTCGTTCAGTAATTGAAGAATAATTGGATAAAGAAGTTGATATATAAGATTCTTGATTTGGATGAATTATTGATGACTTAAAGAAAAACAAAACAAATAAATAATTATATTATATATATGAATTTTATTTACTTTAGTTGATGTATCAACTTTTGCAATATCATAAACAATTAATTTATCATCTGTATCATTATTAATTTCGTCTTCTATTTCAGGTTGTGGACTTGGAGCTTCATAGATAGTTGAAAGACGTTCAACGTTATTTTCACGTTTGTCCATATACATTAATGATAGATTATTCATATCGTATGTTTCATTTTCATTTGTTTGATTATCATTCTCATATGTATCAGTTTGATTATTATCATTACGTAATGTAATAATTGATGCTGAATTTTCATTAATATCTACGAAAACATTTTCTTTTTGTTGTTGTTGTTGTTGTTGCTGTTGTCGTTCTTCATCATCATCACGTTTTAATTGTTCAAGCTCTTCTTCATTTTCTTCAGTTATTGTTAGACAATTGTTGTTGAGAGAGGAATGAATAAGGCTAATCGAGGGTTCATAATTTGTTTCTTCGGGTAGAAAATCATCATCCTACAAAGAAATAAATGAATTCATCGATTTTAAATATATTGATTATTATACAGAATAAACTTACAAAAAATATGGCTATTCTTGAATTTGGTTGATGTGTATTTTCGTTTTGATCGGATAAATCAATATTATAGACAAAGCTATCTACAGTTGATTGTTGTTGTTCACAGTCTATAAAAGCAGCTAATTCTTTATCATAGATTTGATTTGGTGAAACGGGTGCTGATCGACTTCGTTGTGTTTCTAAATCATATTCATTAGTTTCTTCATCAGATCCAATACCAGATAAATCAAGTTCTGGTCGTGTTGTTTTTGAAATATTATTATTATCATCATCTGTTGAAGTTTGTTGATATTTTTCTTGTCGATATCGTCGATTTATTAGCAAATCGTCAACACTTTTACTTTGATATTTGATCTTTGATGTAAATGTAGAACTATTATGACTTCGTTTAAGTAAATCTTCAAGTGCAACAAGTAAATGACGAGATGATGACTCTTCTAAACGTATAAAATATGTTCGATATTACATCATTCATTCTTTTCTTTTTTTTTATTTCCTTTTCATTTCTTTTTGTTCACACTATTAGTTAGATCATATTTTTATGCACACCTAATTGAGACCACGCACAAACTACATGATTTTACATCATCGATAGCAATATTACTAGTATCCAGAATTTCTGTGCTCAACAAGAGCACATTAATCTTATTTTATATATAATCATCAGAAGAGTACTGTCTGCTAGCGGTTAATCCAATATTAATATAATGTCAATTCTATTTACAGGATGTATGAATGTTTTTCTGTTCTTCTCAACAGTTCTATGTGATTATTATGAATGAATAAATGCAGGTTTCCTTTCTCTTCTTTCCTATGATGATTTGTTTTCACAGTTAGACATTGGCATTCGATCGATTATTATTATAAAACATTATATTCTTACAAAAATATCAATATATTTAGAGTATTTATGTTATATTTTGACTTACCTTGTTGATGTTCATAATCTTCATTCATTTTCCAATGGATATTTTCTGTCATATTTATGTATAAAAATTCATAAATTAATCAAAAATTGATCGATCACAATCAATAGATAAATAGAACATTAAAATTCTTCGAAGTATAAGTTTTGAATAACTAAGTGCACGCATGAATGTATGAAAAAAAAAAGAAGAAAAAGAAAATGATCAAACCATCTTCATTCATGTATGTACTCGAGTGTATTCGACCTTGCGAGAGTTGCAAGCGTGCAATTGCTACGTGTAATAAGAATAAGAATAGCGTGCGAGAATACAGTCGTATGAATACACGACAGCACACATGCTAACGCTCTAAAAGAAACAAGCGAAAGAGAGAAGGATAGAAGAAACAAAATGCGTGTGTCGATCAACAAAAAAAAAAAAAAAAAAAAGAGACAGCAAGATACATCGTCGACAATCGAGGGAAAAAAGAACAGTAAGCGACAGACAGAGAAATTTAACTGTCCCAAGACTGATCTTCTATTCGCTTGACAGCGATGATATTAATTTCTTTCTCTTTTTTGAACAAAGACCCTCCTTGTTCAAAATGGAAACAAAATATTATTCCCGCTGTTCTGTCAAATATTGACAAAGAACTTAACATGTAAAAGAACAAAAGTATAAACCAATAAGAAAAATATATCAGCATAATTATCCGTTTAGTAGATTATGCTCGCGTGTAGACACATAGTCAGATATTAGTTTAAGTGGCTAATCAATGAAACAATTCGTTGAGTATTCTATTGAAAAGAATAAATATTTTTAATTATTGAAATTTATAATTGTGTTTTATTAGCTCAATAATTTTAAGAAAATTCTGATGAAACATTTTGTATTAATAATGAGGCATTTTATGACATTTGCTTTCATACATTAATATTAAGAACATCTACTTTTGGTGATCTTAATCGTTTAGCTATAACTGCAATATATGAAGCAATAATTTATTTACGTTTTTTTAGGTTTGTTTTCAAAATAAAAAAACAAAATTTCATATAAAGTATATTAAATGATGACCTTCGAAAATTGGCCACTGATATGGTATCTTTTACTTCGTCTTCATTTTTTTATCCCTGATTTTGCACCATTAACATCACGCGTTAATCACTATATCGAACATTAACAGTACCTGAACTTGTACAATAAATTTTTTCTGTTAAAAATCTTATAGCTGTTTGTAATCCTCATTATGGAAAATACGTAGAAAAAAAAGAATCTTTAATATGAATTTGATTATATATTTGTTGTTTCGAATTAGTTAACAACAGCTGTTGTATTTCATGGTCGAGTGACAATGCTTGAAGTTGAAGAACAAATGTTAAATGTAAAAGAAAAAAAGTTATTCAAATTTTGCTGAATGAATTCTAGATAGTCCTAAAACAGCTGTATGTCATATTCCATCACATGGACTAAAGATGTCAGCTAAACTTGTTCTTTTTTAAACGAACAAATTTTCGAATTTGTTGACTGTTTTTTATAATTTTTTTTTAGCAAATACGACAGCTGTGTTTCATGGAAAATCGAGTTCTTCATCGATGAAAGGATGAATGACATTGTTTATTTTATTTTGTTATGCATTTTGTTTTCTTTTATTTACATTTTGTTTGAAATATGAGTTGACTAAAGCGGTATCGGATATGAATGATCTTATTAGTGAACATCAGCCATATCAAGAAGTTGTTATTGATGCTAAAGATGATGGATATGCTGTTGATTTAGCAACAAAATATATGTGCTAAAGATACAAATTATAATTGATAATATTTCATTTCTTTTTTTTTTTGTTTCCGAAAACATTTGAAAATAAATAATTGTTTGTTCGCAATGCATCATCAATACATGTAAAGTGTAAATGATTTCGATTTAATAGTCTATTGAATAGATAAAATGTATATTATTCTATGAATAGGATAATAAAAAAAAGAACCGAAAGTGCTTTGTTGTTCAATATATGTAAGGGATGGAAAAGTCAATATGAATAAAAAGAGTTGTGTATCTTTCGACAATGAATCACTACAGTTAGAAAATTTATTACTACATTATACTATGAGAGTTATTATTTTGCTTTGAATGACTTAAAAATACATTATCCGTATAGATTGAAACCGTTTTGCAATAACAGAAAAATGTCATTCAAGGAAAGCATCAGCTAGTGTAAAGAAGAGTTTAAAAAGAAACTTTACAGAATTATTATTCGTTTCTATACAAAAATACACTCGATGGTGATATGAAAATTCGAAGAAGGATGAAGACATGATAACCTTCTACATGCTTTATACCTGTCTATATTTTAATAGCATTGATGTTCCCAAAATTAAAAAAAAATTGACGAGCGCATTCTACTGCAAAATGAATTTTAGTATAGTATATTTAATTCTTTTATAATTCGAAAGATATAATGATTTTATCGAACTTTGATATAAACTTACTTACAATAAATAATGATTCTAAGATGGAGGTAAATAACAGAGACGGGATCAGGTCGTATTTTTTTGGAACCGAACCGAGTCAGAACTTACAATAAGCTAATTTATTGACTGAGTGCCCCATAAGTCATCTCGTATGCTTTTATTTTTAAAAACAATGTTCATCAAACAATGTAGAACAGGTAGCACTTTGGTTGCAACACAAGTAGGTTTTTGTTTGATACAGAAAACAATATGTACGATCTCTTATCGATATTTAATCGAAGTTTTCTCGTTATTATGAGTTTCAGTTCATTCAAGTCATTTACTATAACTTGAATCCTTTCACAACGTTTGACATAGTTGCTACTTATATACTACATTCATACTGTTCTGCAATGATTGGTGAAAACGCACAAGACTCTCGTCAAACAGCTGACGAAAGTTCAGTGGACTTTAGCCAATTATTGATGAACGTCTTATTGTCAAAGAGCAGGATTCCTTATAAACACTTGCTGTAATAGATTTCTAGGAAAAGAATAAAGCAAAGGACCAGTTTTAATTACAGATCAACTATAAAATGCTGCAACGTGCTCGTTTCTACGTGTATTAAAGTTTTCGAAGAATCATGAATGACTTACTTTGAAGGAATGCATCAATAATTCGATCGTTTTGAAACATGTCAAACAAATGATTGCAGACGAACTATGAAAGATCTAGATTATCTGAAGTTCACAATAACGAGAGAAGTTCAAGTAGATATCGATAAAACATAGTACATATTGTTTTCGATGTCAAGCAAAAGCCTGATTTTTGTGTTGTACACAAAGTGCTATCGGTACTACAGTGTTGATGAACTTTGTTTTTAAAAATCAAAACATGCCATTATCCATTTCGAAATAGAAGAGCACTGGGTAGTTTTTGAATAACTTCTGATTGAAATTAGATAGAGAGCTACGATTTTTACCGTTGAAAAGAGGAGATGAAGGCGCATCGAATCATACACTACAGATTTTATTTCCAAGTATTGTGAGAGTTTCTATTGAATGCTTTTGAAAAAAATGTGTACGCTTGGACTCGACTGGTACAATAAATTTTCATGAAAATGTAGCAACAAACTGCAATTTTTGCCTAATTTTCTCGAAAAATCAGGTAGAAGCCCACAATAAAAATGCCTTTAACTCCTGAACGTTACAAGTTAAAAATCTGGGCCTTGTACAGTTTTGTAGATCAGCCATTCACGGTTCTGATGCATTCCTAAAATTCGAAAAATCCCTATGGTGACTGAGCGCGGTACATTGGTTTGCTAAAATCTCGATTAAAAACACTCAATAAAACTTGTTGGAAAAGTCTGTAATACATAATGCGATGCATCTTGATCTTCTCTTTTCAATGGTGAAAATCGCAGGGCTCTATCTCGTTCCTAAAGAAAGTTATTCAAAAAACACTCATCCCTCCGCTATTTTGCAACGGACAATAGTTCCTTCTTTCAAATCGACAAAAATTTTTGGATTAAACTTGAGCAGTAGAAAAACTAAATGCATTTATACAATAATCATGACTTCTGTGACGCTCTCTTTTAAAGTATCAATGTTAGATGAGATTGATTCACATTTTTCTGGAACCGAATCGAATTGACCTAGTTTTTTAAAAAGCTCCAATCGAACCAATTTCGGTTCTGGTCGAAACTGGACCGATCCCATCTCTGGTGAATAATGTCAGACAATTGATATGATGGTACTTTTGCTCTTGAGAAGGAACAGAATACCTCCGAGAAATATTTCGATTATTGCTACCTTCATAAGGTTCAATTGAAAAGAAAAAAATAAGTTGGGGATTTTATTAATATTAACCACTACATTAAGTAAAAATTAATTTTCACCAAGAGAAAAGAATTAATTTTAAAGAGAAAAATTTGTATCACATCTTCATTTGCAAGGAAAAATTCAAAAGATTTGAAGATATGATGATTATTTTTCTTTCTCATTTGTAAAGACTGTCACTATCAGAATTAAGGAAAGAAATGATCGAGATGTTTATATTGTTTTTCTCTCCTGTTTATCACATGATATATTATGAGATTCGATGAATCGTTTCTTTTTTACAAATGTCTTCGTACGACATTTGATTTTGTGAGGATCAACTACTTCATCGACCGTCCAATCGTTAACTAATCAGTGATGCTTAAGAATATGTCGCAGAACAGGCTAAAATTCAGTCTAGATCAAAATATTTTAATCTGAACTAAATTTAAGTTTGTCCTGTGACAAATACATTATATACCTTCTTTTATTTATCTAGATAGTCAAAATGGATATACCATTTTCAGTAGTGATTTAAAATTGCAAAAATCAAATTCAAAAATAAATGAAGATTTATCAGTTTTATTTACTATTTGCTACTTGGACAATAAGAAATTCAGCTTACTGATCAATGATTAGGCACGAAACACTATACTTCTGCTTGAAATAGATAGTTTTTATTTTTCGAAATAGAAAGGTAAATTACTTCATAGTTTGAGCGGTAAAAATATCAAAAAACTACTTTTATGTTGTAATGAAAATGATATCAAGATGAATTTTACGATGTTTTGCACAAAAAGGATATTTCATTC